TCAGACGATTGGGGCTCTGATAAGGATGACGACGAGGAGGATTCAGATGATGAGCGACCTGGTGGTGGCAACGCTGCCCAGCTTGCGTCCATCCTGTTCGGCACCATGGCACCTCCCAGGCCAATGTCCGCCATGGGCAAGGACTCGGCGACTGCGAGCCCGGTGCCAACAAACGACACACCCATTGCTTCCCCTCCACCTCCCCCAATGCCTTCTACAGGTGCCCCTGGTGCTCCTCCTCCACCACCCCCTCTGCCCGGATCTGGTGCTCCCTCTGCTCCCCCTCCTCCTCCTCCTATGCCTGGCACTGGTGCGCCCAGCGCCCCTCCCCCTCCTCCTCCCATGGGTGGACCACCAGCACCCCCTCCTCCGCCTCCAGGCAACGCCCCAGCACTTCCTTCCGGTGGGCGGCCTGCAGGATTCTTGGGCGAGATCCAAGCCGGCAAGGCTCTCAAGAAGACGAAGACCAAGGATAGCAGTGGCGCTGCAGTCGCTGGTAAAGTTCTAGACTAGATAATCACCGGAGCGAAGGAAACTTCAGGTAAGGGGCGGGCTACGGGATTCACATGGGGAGACACAACCAGCTTAGAGAAGAGATGGGATGAAGAATTCAACAGACTTCGAGTCCAATATTCAGCTATTCCAAGTGTAATAAAGTACATAGTGTCTGTATTGCGTTAGTCAGTGGCCATTTTTAGTCGGCACCAAGGCCACCTAGTAGTAAAATGAAATTTATGCTCTTTTTTTCGGTACAACTTTGCAACTGGCCAGATATAACAAGAATCCCACGTATTCGGGTCAATTCACTTCAACCACACAGGTGCCACACTGATCCAGTTCAGGCTTTGCTAGACAAGTCTCGATGAGATCGAGGGACTGTCCCTGATCTAGCCCCATACGTCTTTCCTCGAGTTTAATCAAGGTCTCACCCGGCAGTCCCAAACTCGTATGAATCGTGATCTCTCTCACTCGGCTAGTCCAGCTCGAGCCTCACCCCCCCCTCCCCAATGTGTCAACACTTCATGCGAGTTTAATGGCCTGGCGGGGAGGGGGATCACATGTGCATAAGGCTCCAAGGGAGCTAGCATCAAGCTTTTTTCTTTCCCTCTCTTTTTCCTTCTCCCTCGAGCCCCGCCATGTGCCGGGGAAGATTGGCCTTTGGCATCATCCCTTCCGGACGTCTCGGAGGCTGCGTGGACCCGTAGAGGGGGGGGGCAATGGCGGCTCTCAAGTCTCACGCAGGGCCCCAGCTCATGTACAGTTGAGGGATGGCATGATGCATTTCTATGCCGGCAGACAGCACGGATGCCTACTTCTACGGGAGTTGACTTCTCCCTTCTCGACGTATAGGGACATCGACTTTTCGTCAGAATGGGCCCACGGAGAGAAGAAACCTTCAGAGGGTTTCAAAGTATACAAGGATAGAGGCCTCATGTTTGGCTACAGCTAGGCTGCATGTATTACGAGTTTCGGTATCCGCGTTCTCCCGTCTTCTTGCCCTCCGTGGCCCTGTTTGGTCTCTACGAAATGGCCGGCCGTCTCGATAAGAGGGCCATTATTACTAGTGACCGAGAAGATTTAGTATTCATGCAGAGGCAATGGCGAGGAGGGCTTGGGCTGGAAGTTTGCCTTGCCCAAAGCCAGATCGTGTGCCCAAAGGCACATCGTGATGTCATGAGAGGGAGTGTGTTGAGATTTTGGTCTCAGATAGGCGAGACTGGCGAGATAAGTTTGTTCCAGTTGGGAATACGGTTAGTCTGTCTACCTGCGAACTTTCTGATAGCACCATGCCATGATAGCAGAGAGGACAGGGCAGGGTCGACGGCGGCCATGCGATGGATATCTATGGATAGGAGACCTGGGCATTGCTCAATGATCACGGGGGACATCCCCGGCGACGAGGCCATGAAGCCGCCTCCACCGTCGCCGGGATTGTCATCTCCTAATAAGGAGTGAAATGGAAAACGGAAAGAAAAAAAGAAGGCAAGTTTGGTTCGCAGCGCTACCGACGGAGCAATAGGCGCAGGTACCAGCTTGCGGCACGACCAAGCTTTGACATGACTAGGTAGTGCCGGCTAGTGATGGACAACTCATCAATTCAATTTTAAAGTGCAATAACCCCGTATACCAGACATGGTGACGGGTTTCGCGGGCATTCCTCCTCATCGTCGTCGTAATAATATGCGAGGGGAAAGGGATACAGACAATGGCCTGGTCGCGGCCGGCATTAGGGCGAGTGAGTATGAGATGATAGTCTGCCCATCCAGGCAGTGCAAAGGTGGTGGCGGCCAATGCATGGGCAGATATGGGGGAGCCATGTGAGAGCCTGGTCGTATCAGGGCCCAAGCTGCGAATCTGATCTGGCGGTCAGTGAGTTGAATCATTCCATCCAGCATCCTCTTTGGCTGGCCGTCGCAGGGCGGCCATACCGGGACCTGCATAAGTTATGTGAAGCGACCCGGCCGACGGCGTGAATCTGTGCACCAAATCTTCATAGACTCGTTCACGGCAGCCAGGTCAATGCACAAGAAGCCGATCTGCACGACGTTACCTTGCACCACCACCACCACCACCAGCACATCGAGCGGGGGCGATACTCGACCCTCCACAGCAATGCCGTGTGGCCATCCAAGCCTGTCAACGGGCACGATGGACCCGATAGGCTGAGGAGGGCAAGCACAAGTAGGTAGGTACCATTACAATGTACGAGGTAGCAGCAAATGGATCGCTGGATGGGATCCGGAGAGAGAGTGAAACGCTGGGGTTGTGATAATATTAGGCCTGGGCCGGGGTGCAAAAAGCTTCCCCTTTCGGTAGGTGCGCCTCCACCACCAGAAGCTTAAGCTTGCGAGAGCTCCAGTGGCCAGTTGCGTCACACCCGTGATTCTGCCGGCGTCTGATTGGCCTGCGACGCGCCCCAACCAAAACAATACGAGCGCGTCGTGGAACGCGTCGGCCAACGTCAGGCGACCTCCTCATCCAACCAACCGACACGTCCGTCCGTCAAACCAGGCAGGCAGGAGGAGACAGCGAACCTCAACCGTTCGTTGCTGGAAGACCCATGTGTTCCCTATCAGGCCCCCAAGAACCTTTCATGCTGTTTGCCCCTCCGTTCTCTGCGGTTGCCGCTTGCACCTACATGCCTCTGCCCGCCCAGGTCTAGCGCTGCAGGCAGCAAGTCTTGGTCAAGTGGCCTGCGGGCACCCAATTACGGTCGATCTTTAGAAGGTTGACAGCCCCATGCTTAGTGCTCGGGGCGCAGCTCCAATTAGATTGATCCCGATGGGCGGGACGCTGTAAGCCAAAAGTAGCCATCGGATGTACGTCCATACATATCAAACTCAATTGCCCTGTTTTGCCGCCAGTAGACAGCCAGCCAGGCCCAGCGTAATTTAGCAGACCAGCCGCGCTAACGGCCTGGCAAGGGAAGTCAATTCCTGTACACGGGGCGGGAGAGGTCGAGTAAAGCTGAGGGGGCCACAAGGACGGGCCTGGCACAGGCCTTGAAGCAGCCGGCCGACCTCAGTACGCGCCCTGTGTCGCGTCGACTCATTCCAAACCCCCCCCTAAGTCCGACTCTGGTGCTGCAGCCCATCTGCCGACGCGACTTTGCGAGCAGAGGATGTACTCGGTACCATCGAGATCGAGACCTGGGCCCACCTCGCTATCGCACTTTGGAAATCGTCATCCTCGTGATAGCGGCTCCATCTTTTGTCACGATGGCATGGTGCTAAAATACGCAGTGTGGCATCTGGGCTCTTGGAACTAGGCAGTCACTGGATCGTAAATCCATTGTGAGCTTCACGTCTTAGCATGAAGGCTATTCACCCGTTTGGGAGAGTGCCAGTTTTAGTTGTAAATCAGGAAAGCCGGGCTAGCATGGGACGCTGGATCCAGTATTTCCTGTAGCTTGGGGACAGACAGACGCTCTCATGCAATCACATCATAAAGAACTCATGTCCTACAGACGGCTGATGGGTGGAGGACGGTGCATAAACGCAGCCAGTCACTCAGCCAGTGCCATTCGCCCATTCCGAAACCCCCGCGACGCGGCCCTTCTCTCTCCTAACCGCCCTCCAACTATTCTCAGCTTCAGAGTTCTCCCTCGCATTCGTGCTGGGGATCATCCCTGTCGCCGCTGTGTCAGCCCAGACACCCTCCAGCCAATCCCTGCCGCTGTCGCTCCCTCCCTTGTGCTCCTGAGGGCTCCACCAGACCTGGTACCGGGGCCAACTTGCTGAGTTGTCCAGCTCTTGGCTCTTCCCATCAATCAATCTACCCAAGTACATGTACCAGGTACCTTGCCGTCACGCCCACCCGGCCTGCTCCTTCCCTTGCACGTTCGTTTTCTTCCTCGCACCCGCCAGCCCATAATTTCATCCTTCAATGAATCTTACTCCTCGCACCAACGAACCGAAATCGCCTCCTGCCTTGCTGCAACACCTCCACGTCCGACCATAAACGAAACACCGTCGAAAAATACTCTCTCGACATTTTTGGCTCCCAGAATTACTGACCAAGCCTCCCGGCCGTTTGCCTCGCATCTTGGAACTTCCAACACGTCCCGATCAACACGCGTTCTCCGCCGACTTTAGCACATCCATCCACCTTGGCGTCTCCCCATCTTCAGCCTGCTATCATCCGAACACAACATCAAGCTGGCCCAACATTTAGTCGCTTTCGCTTTCATCCCAACTTTCAACATTCGCATCACTAGGTGCGTTTAAAGTTTCATTTTGCTTTTCATCCGTTCACTCCTTTCCCTCCCCCCCCCTTGCCGTGACATGGCCATCCTCCCTCATGACCCCTTTGAAAGAAATGACCATTTGAAGAGCTCGCCGCTTACGGTGGCTTACATTAAGCACCACCTTTTCACATTGACAATGCAGCAAAGTCACTAACTGTTTCTTTCAGCTCGAGAGAAGAAACCTAGACAGCCTCGACTGCCTTGAACCATTGCTTGACCAGTCACTCAGACCTCAAGCCAACGCCTGGCCATCATGGCCAAACATTCCCGCTTTCCAGGGTCGAATGAGCCGCTACACATCTTCCAGGACGATTTATTTGATTCTGTTATCACTTCTTCAGTACCAATGACCAGCCACGCACCAATGCCTACCGTCTCGAAACCTTCCCGGCGCCCTCTCGGCAGCTCGAGTTCGAACGTCGTCTTAAACCCCCCTAATGCTAATGCTCGGCGAGGCAATCTATCTCCTCACAAAACACGCTCATCCTCTCCGAGATCACCAGTCAAATCTCCTGTAAATAAGCTACATGCAGTATCGATGGCTCCACCTCCCCTTGGAAATCGCCAGGTGACCGATTCGCTCCAGAAGAGGCCTTTCCTCTCTAAATTCAAGACCGGACCACAAAAGCCCTCAGTTGATTTAGGAATGCACTTTGGCAAAGAGAACGTCCATCCTCATATTTTTCCCGCCCCGCAACCTATTAATCTGTCGGTGGAAGACTACTATCCAAAGCCAAACGGAAAACGAGGACTTTTAGACGCAGCACCCATTAATGCCGGCTTCAGACCGAACAAAAAGATCAAGACCGAAGACCAAGCTCTACCGCCCTGGGATTCTTTCCCTCCTATTCACGATGACGGCGCTAAGCCCCAGCACAGCTACGCCCAGCTTATTGGAATGGCCATTCTCCGATCCCCAAATCGACGACTCACGCTGGCTCAGATTTACAAGTGGATTAGCGATAATTTCTCCTTTTACAATCCTAACGACGCCGGTTGGCAAAACAGCATTCGACATAATCTGAGCCTTCACAAGAACTTCATCAAAATCGAGCGGCCCAAGGATGATCCAGGAAAGGGAAACTACTGGGGCATCGAAACTGGAACGGAGCATCAATTTCTCAAAGAGAAGCCAAGCCGAAAGTCGGCTCCGAGTGCTGAGAACCTTCCAGTGATGTCTACAAGGCTCGAGCCCTCGAGGCTCACTCCAGCTCCTCCACCTCCTGAGCCCAGTCTCCCACCTCTGGGACTGATGCCCCAGATTCCCCTCCCGCAACTTCCTCAAACACAGCCTACAACCCAAGAGCTCTCTTCAGATGCCACTATTCCCGTGTCAGATGGCTCTGTTCCTGAGGAAGTCGGCGACAAGGTTATAGAAAATGAAACCGCCTTGGAAAACTCGCTTTATTCGCCTGGTCTCGGCCTTCTCAATTCGTCTCCATTGGCGAGAAGCTCACAGCTCCGAAGTGGAACTCCTCCTCCACCCGGATCCCACCAAAACTCCGCCTCTCGCTCTCGCAAGAGGTCAAAGTTTGCTTCAATGGACGACAGTGGATACATATCCTCCCTTGAGTCATCTGCTCTTAGACCGACTGAGCGATCGTTCTTGATGACCTCAGAAGCAGATAAACCAAGGAGAAAGAAGCAACGCCTCGGGGGTTCAGGTCGCGCTGAGGATGAAATTGCTCGCTTGCGCAACTCGTCCCCCCATAGCCCTACCAAGCGTCGTTCAAAGTCGGCTTTTGGCCCAATCTCCTCATCACCGCTTCGACATGCACAAGATAATCAGATGCTACCCCCTTTGACTCCGCTTGTGAAGATCAAGGCCCCTGAACAGCCAGTGTCGGTATCTCCTGCTACCAACCTTGCTCAACACCGCGACAGGATGCGCACATTACTGCAATCCCCATTGCGTAGAGTAACAGAAATTGGCGACGAGGTGGGCGGCATGGGAGTGAACACACCGTGCCGCTGGAGCCCCGCTTTCAAACTGGAAGACAGCCTCTACAACTTTGATGACTTCAGTGTTGACACCCTGGGTGACTTCGGCGACTTCAACACATTCAACGATAATACCTTCGGGCTTACAAGCACTGTCTCAGGGAATGGGTCACCACTCAAGCGGTCTGCCAAGAGAAAACCCCTTGAGCGCGCTGCAACCACGTCTGTCCTCGGCAGCCTCACAGGATCGGCCGCCAAGAAACCAATCACCTCTGCTCCATTTCTCAAAGTCCCCGACACCCCCATGCAATTCCTGGAAACACCAAGCAAGGCATTTGAGGGAATGAGCTCTCCTTCCAAATTTTTTCAACAATCTCCCTGCAAGGGCGCCTCGCCATCCAAATTCGATGCAATGCTCGAAATGGTGGGCGACAACGACTGGCCTCATCTTGTGCTGGATAACAGCCAATTTATGCCTGCACCGAGCTCAAACCCCATGTCAGACTTCACCGGCCTTGATATTCTACAAGGCTTCGAGAAAATCGGGTCTGGCAACGGCAATGGTTCCCAGGCAGCAAAGTCTAAGGGAGGCAAGCCTGGCCTCGGCCGCAGCTTTTCCACCACCTTTTAAAACCAGTCCAGATGAGCAATTCTGGAACATGAGAAGCAATGTTTATGAATTAATGAATAATGAGGAACACCAAATTGAAGATGGACTTGTCCTCCATCTTCATGAGGATCCCAAAATACATATTAAAGAAAACATCTTCTTGCTGCCCTCTATTGGGTCTTGCTACAAGAAGAGTTAGGTGGACGTTTTCGAAGCTCTATTTCGCATCACTTTTTTATTTTTGATGTCCTTTTTTTTTATCAGCAACGAATGCACGAATTTCCAAACACGCGGACAGACGCAGTCTTTTATTTTTTGGGAGGCACAGGTGTAGGATGAGCGACATCAATCGGAAGGGTCTGGAATGGTATTAGTTGGCGTTTTGTTTTTACACCAAGGTCGGATGGATGCGTTCTGTTTTTACTTTTTGCTCTTGCTTTTGCGTTTTGCTCACCATCTTGGATGTCATAACCTGGCTCTCAGGGCGAGAACAGGTTGGAGTATTGTAAGCGATTGGATTAGTTGGCACGTTCTGTAGCTAGACGCAAATTTGGCGTACGCTGCCCTGCATGGAATTGAAACGTAATTTGCTAGTACATTCGCATGCGATTGGCCCAGCTCGACTCCTTTTGATCAACAGTGATTTTATACGGGAACGGATTCACGCCTTGTGTAGTGATCGGAGGGATGTGATCTTTATGAGTATTAACAAATGTAACAATCTTCATCACGGTCGTTTGGAGTGTTTGTTCCATAGCTCGTCGCACTTTGGCTCGTTCTAGCGAGAGCCCCATTGTTAGCACCTAATGCACATACATACATACCTTACCTTTGATGGACCACATCCCATCTCATCTGGGAAACAGGTTGAAAAAAACGCACCAGTCTCAGTTTTGGGTTCGGCGACGGTGACCTTGAGGGTCCAGCACTCCCAGCAGACCTCGTCGTCGCCCCGGGTGAGCCAGGCCTTGCGGCGGCGCTTCTCGAAGAACTGGACGGTGAACTGGCCCCGGCTGCCGCCCCCCGTGCTCATGCTGGCCGAGGAGCGCTCGGCGTCGAGCTGGCGCTCCAGGGCGGCGGCGCGCTGGTCGATCATGGTCTCGAGCTCGTCGTTGTCGACGTAGGGGAGGGAGAGGTCGAGGACCTCGCGGGTCTGCGGGGTGACGGCCGGGAAGAAGCGGTGGAAGAAGATGGTGTGGAGGATTCCTGGGCGGGAGTAGTTCGAATGAGCGATATGAGTTTTCATAGTTCGGTGAGCTAGTTGTGGTGGTGGTGGTCTTTGGGCGGAGGAGGGGAGGATGGGATGGGATGGGAGTCGAGACAGGAGAGGATGACGTCGCGGGGGCTTCTGGATGCCAGGGACGGAGAGGGGAGGGGTCTTGCTTGCCTTTGACGACGTCGCGGACTGACCTCGGGTCGGTGAAGACGTCGAGTATCAACTCTGTCGGCTCCTGCTGGTCCATGTCGCGCGGGCGGGTGCCTGGGGGGTTGATGTCGGGGCGGAGATGGGGAGCGTGGTCTGCTCCAAGCTCGATTGCAAGTCGAGTAGGGAGGGGCAGTCTCTGATAAACATGCCGCTATCGCTAACAAGGATCTCTTGAAGTTAGCCTTACATGGATCCATTTTTATCATGTGGTCTATTAAGGCAATTGGGTCTGCTTACATTACCGGACGCCGCAAGTTGTCTGGGCTGTGGCGCACGATCTTGGTGGTTTGGTGTGGCTGGACCAGAGCCAAGAACGTATGCTTTCAACGCTGAAGCTAACGCTGAAGTCGAGGTAGTTGATCATTAGCTTTGTTGTATTAACTGATCCTCAGCTATCGGTTATAAGACGCATCTAACGTACCAAGTCAATGAAAGTAACACATTACATCATGCCAGTTCGTCAAAATCGCAATATTCATTCAATTGACATCAAATTGCTGCTATTGGTAATGAGCATAGGGTAGCGTCGACGGCAAAATAGAACCTGTGGGGTAAACCGACGTCTCACCATCCTTTTTCGGCTCTTCTAAAGACGCCAAACCAAAAGCCGGTGGTTTGGCAGTTACACGGCGATGGGAGTAAGCGACGCAAGGATTTACGGAGGACGGCTTTCTCCCGTGAAGTTTCGGAAGCGCAGGCGAGCTTCAAACACCATCCACTACGAATCACTTGGCCTTTCAGTCAAATGACAGGCTTTGGTAAGGTGCGCCAACATTCCGAAGCTCTCGTGGCTTTGCAGCACCTTCTCTCAATGAGGAAGATCGGACCTGTGGATGGCTGCGTTCAAGCAACGGCGACATGCATCATCGGCATATCAATTGTCTGTGAGTACCAAGGTAGGTCACAGTGGGGGGCGGGGGCGGGGCGGAATGTGACTGAGGGCAAGTCAAATGCGTCGATCACCACTTGCACACTTTAGCTGGTTCAGACAAGAAATGAAGAAAAGCAAAGGCAAGTTAATGTCCAAGAGAGAAACTATCAGCCAAATATAGTAGTCTGTATGAGCTGCCTGCAGAGAATTGGAAGTTTATACTCAGATCAAATGCCCTCTTTGAAGAGGATGCTTGAGATGATGAAAAAATTTAAGACCATAGGTAGTTATAGGTATATTTAAGGATTATAACTAGGTAGGTAATTGTAGCCTATAGATGAAGATATATTATTACACAGATTATATATGTTTAGATGTATCTTTATCTAGCGTGGACCTAGTGCCAAATTAAGTTAAACAATAATGCTATCTGCAAGGCTTCCATGAGGCTATCATGAACGCCCCTCACCAACCGCTTCCAATAAAAGCTTGTTGCACGTCGTGTTTTCATTTCCTTCAACCACAACAACGGCACCCACGATAACCAATCTCAATCTCGGACGGAATGACTATCGACGTCATTCTCGGGGCCCAATGGGGTAAGTTTGCTCTGCATCCCTTGCCTTGCATCCCTTGCCTGGAATGCATTCTCCCTCTGCGCCCGGCCGATCTCGGTTAGCTCTCACGATACTAACAATAACTTCATAGGCGACGAAGGCGTGAGTCTCCAATTCGAACCAAATACGGCCCAACTTCCAGATATTAACGATATTGTGTGCTCAGAAGGGAAAGCTGGTTGATATCCAGTCCCGGGACGCGCAACTAGTTTGCCGAGCTGCCGTAAGTTCAACGAAGGCACTAATGCCGCCAAAGCTTTCAAGATCCCTTCGCAATCGACTATTTCCCGGTGGAATACCTGCTAACTATCTTCAAGGGTGGACACAATGCAGGTCAGTCGGCAAAATCTCTAGAGCGACTTCAATCGGGGCTCAGCGCTGACAGGTGGGACGGTTTCAGGTCACGAGATCAAGTTCGTCAAACGCTTTCAATCGATCAATTGATATACTTTTTATTTGCTAATAAGTCAAAGGGTGGATGGAGTCTCCTACAGGTAAAGAACGGGCCGGCGTCGAAGCTATGGTTGGCTACTGACTTGTAGTAGCTTTCACCTCTTGCCCTCTGGCCTCATGAACCCCCGGTGCAAGAACTTCATCGGCTCCGGTGTGGTCTTTCACATGTGCGTCATCACAAAATCCTTCGGCTATGACCCGACCGATCGCCAGACAGGCATCTTATTGATGTCTCGCCTGGCTCGCACCTCTCAACTGAACAGGTCAATAAGACTGACTTGGTCCATCTAGTCCAACCTTCTTCAGCGAGCTCAAGGAACTTGAAGAGAGTATGTTGCAGGGACCCCAGTCTTTTGAGCATCAGTATGTCTAACATAGCTCAGAGGGCTTGACCACGGTACACGACCGAATCTTTGTTTCTGACAGGGTCAATGTCCTCTTGGACATGCACATCGCAGTGGATGGCCTTGAGGAGAAGGAGCTTGGAGGTTCGTCATGTGGTTTCGATGCCCTCTTTAAGAAACAGCAGCTAATGAAAACCTCAGACGCAGCTATTGGGACAACAAGACGTGGTAATATACCCTCAGAATTTCATGCTGCCTTTGCCCCTTTACAAGCACTCCCATACATGAACAGAAAGGGTAGTGATTCTACCAAAGCAACGGGGTCTAACTTTCACCAAAGGCATTGGTCCATGCTACCAAACAAGCAGAGCGGTAAGAAGTTGACTTGACGAGGGGTCGCGCGGTGCGCTAACTTTCCCAGCGAACGGGCATCAAATTAACTGATATCTTCTATCCGGAACTCTTCGAGCAGAAGGTGAAGCGCTTAGCTGATGGTTATCAAAAGCGCTTTGGTGAACTATTCGAGTACGACATCAAAGCCGAGCTTGCTCGTTTTGAGGAGTATCGGAAGACGATGAGGAAATACGTCGTGGACGGCGTGGCCTTCATGTCATCCGAGCAGCAGAGCGACCAGAAGATTGTGGTCGAAGGCGCAAACGTAATTTTTTCGTCCCAAACGCTAAACAAACAGTGCTTACTTCAATAGGCACTGATGCTAGATATTGACTATGGCTCGTACCCAGTAAGTCTGCGTTAAATTCGTTATTCGATTCTGCACCAGTGCTAATGATCAATAACAGTTCGTTACTTCGTCAAGCACCACGCTTGCTGGGATCATTGGTGGACTCACCCTGAACCCGAAGAACATTACAGAGACGGTCGGAGTGGTCAAGGCTTGTATGTTAACTTCTGTAAGACTATTATTCACTGCTGACTGGCAACAGACACCACCCGTGTCGGTTGGGGTGCCTTCAAGACCGAAGATACGGAAGAGTGAGTCTTAATGACGTTCCCTAAACTACTCTATACTAATTGAAAACCTTAGGATTGGCACTAAACTTCAGGAGATTGGACGCGAATGGGTGAGGCTCTATGCACCTTGAAGCATTCGAGCTTTCATCGTTGACAAGACATAGGGGACGTCGACCGGCCGCAGACGCCGATGTGGATGGTGAGCTTTAATCACTTTGGCGTTTAGCTTCTGATCAACCTACTAACTGCTCTCAGGCTTGGTACGCACAACTTCAAAAGCCTCAGGGATTGACAGAACTGGGAGCGCATCTAACAGGTACAGACCTTGTGGTTGTTAAATACAGCAACTCAATCAACTACTACACCAGCCTTAATTTAACAAAGGTAGGCCTGGCGTGCTTCCTACATATAGGAAAATACTCTAACATTTTATAGCTCGATGTTCTGGACACTTTTGAAACGATCAAGATTGCGATCGCTTATAAGGTCGACGGGAAGGTTAGTGATGCCAACGAGAGCAAAATAGATGAGAGTGACGCTGACCGTCTGGTCAGGAATTGGAATCTTACCCTGCGGATCTTGAGGTCTTGGAACAAGCCGAGGTCATTTATCATGACATGCCAGGGTGGCAAACGCCGACTACTAACGCGAAGACCTACGACGATCTACCCAAGAAGGCTCGTGATTACGTAGAGGCAAGCACTTGAATTGGGCTCATATAGCGAACACTAATGCTAACCTCTAGCAGTACATTGAGAAGTTTGTGGGAGTCAAGGTACGTCGGCGCGCATACTGTCCAAGCCCATAGTTGCTAACGTCCCGCAGATCAAGTACATTGGCACCGGTCCCGACCGTGAGGCCATGATCCAACGCGCCTGATTGCACTAAATGGAGGAAGCACCCGAGCCTTTGCTTGGATGGTGCGTAAGAAAGGATGGGTATCCAAGCCAATTCATGCCTCTAAGAAGAGGGGTTTCTGGTTCCGCTTAGCTGAGTACCGTAAAACTACAAGGGATACTTGACTAGCCAAGTGGGTGAAATAAAACATGGCACATCGAGATAGTTCAGCACTGTGATTCAACACAATATCACAATAAATAACCTAGTACTGAGTACAATATTAAGCTAAATATTACAGAATATTTTATTATTCTCTTCTTATTGTGTTTAGTTAAAACATGAGGTCCTTGTCTCACACGGAAAGAGCTTTGGTGTGCCATGTTTTATTCCAGCCACTTGCTAGCTTACCTGGGATGTTTTCCCAGACATCGCGATGAAGTAGCTGAGCAGGTACACAGTCCAGAATTCAGTGCAAAAGATAGAATGGATAGAATGCTGAAAATCAGCATATCCAGTTGTTTTCAGCAGTTCGCGAAAGTCGTATGATGTTTTGTGACAGTCCTTGAGCCGTGGGACATGGTAGAACAGATCGTTCGAATCCAAAAGGATCCATGACAAGTTGTGACTTCTCCAGGTGATGTTTCATTCAATAGGCTTGAGATGAATCCCGAGTTTGGTTCCCTGGCCAGTGCTCGGTACAGAGTCACAACTTGAGCCGTGGTTTCGTGCAGTCCGCAGAGCTGCAGTTGTGACACCAGGAAGTTGAACTGGGCGCAAGTTGTGCCTTTTGCCCCATGTACGTAGACATCATGTTCGTGCTCCTTCACAGTCTGAATGAAGACTGCTGCCTCTGAAGGAGCCCAAGAAGCGCATTACTAAAGCCCTTTCATTCTGTTGTTCCCCTGTGTGAGAGGGAGTGCGAGAGGCATTGTTGAGAATCAGACTACACGCCTCGACTAGGGGGCTGGAAACCTTAATGCCTGGGCCAGAGCCTGTATCAGAACCTACACATTCAAATCTTCAGTTCGCGCTTGTAATTACATATGTGAAGGTCAATGCTGGCTCGTCAGGCCTTGCCATACATCCAACATAGTGTGGTATCTAGGACTGCGATGTGGTTATAGTGAGGTTATCTATCGTTGTGACAGGACTATGCTATGGCCAGGGTTTCGTATACCAGCTTGCGTCGAAGTATGGTTTATCTAGGACAATAGGTGTAGTTAATCAATGCAGCCCGCGACACTCTTATGCGCTGAGATGAAGCATTATGCAGCTGGGGGTTGATGCATTAATTAATAGGTTCCACCCTATAGGGGCCTATTAAAACGGACCAATCACGCTCGCAGGCGCCGGCTGTCTCTCAACGCGCCGGGGCCGAGGTAAATCCATTCGTCATAGCTGAGCAGGTGCTCCGACACGCCTCCAGGCAGGTGTGAATGCAACGCTCCTGCTTCCGGTTGATGGCCACTATCACCAAAAGACCAGATGCATCGGCGCGTTCCTCGTCAACCACAAGCCCTCTCCTGGACTCGCCATAGCTGCCAGTAGGTAGTTCAGTAGTTCCCGGAGCGAATGAGCTGCTTGATCTCACGCGCTCGCTCCCCTTTTCCGTCATTGACTCCGTCGCAACGTCTATCTTCCCCTCGTTCTTCTTTTTATATCGGGACGGGTCCCACTCACTCTACCGCCCACTCGTGCCTCTAACCTCCGAGACTCGTGCTTCTCACCCAGACATCATCCTAGGCACTCAGGATACGGTCGTCGCCCCAAGATCAAAACATGTTTTCGTCGGCACGGCGGTGGCTGCGCCAGAACCGCACGCCCATCGCAATTGGCGTTGGTGTCATCGGCGCTGGGTATGCTGTGTCGCAGTATGTCATCTCCAGAATCAGCGATGCTCGTGAGCGCATGAGCAGCGAACGAATCGCAAAGGAAAAGTACGTCACCCCCATGCCACTCCCTCTGCCCTCTCACCTCCCATTCAAGGCATCACAAGTATACTAAATAGCTGCCTTGTAGTCTCCGCCGCCGGTTCGAGCAGAACCAAGAAGACTGTACATTCACTGTCCTCGCCCTGCTGCCGACTGCGACAACGAATATCCTCGAGGCCATGGATACGGAGAAGATCACATATGAGATTCAACAGATGAAGAGCGCCAAAGGCCTCAAGGCAGGTATCACAGAATCGACAGCTCCTAGTATTGCCGACACCTCCCTCACCGAGGAGGAGAGCAAGAGTCTACACCCGGAAAGTGCTTCAACCGACCCAGCGCCATCACCAGCTGCCGCCCCCGGCGTCGAATCGCAGGAGGAGAGCGCTCCTCCAAAGCCAACAAAGTCAAAGCGACAGCTGTGGGATGATCTGGCCATCAGCGGTACGTGACATTCATGATCTGCTTCCAAGGGTCAAGCGCGCTAACAAATTTGCCCAACTCCAGCTGTCACCCGCGCATTTACTCTCATCTATACTCTTGCGCTCCTGACTATGCTTACCCGGATCCAGTTAAATCTGCTGGGCCGCCGGAGCTATCTCTCGAGCGTCGTTGCTCTCGCCACGAGCTCGCAACAGGCTACCATCAGCCTGGAGAATAACGACGATGACAACTCAGAACAGGCTTATGGAAGTGATTTCGACACAAACCGCAGATATCTGACATTCAGCTGGTGGCTGCTCAACAGAGGTTGGCTGTATATTATGAAGCGGGTCGAGGGCGCCGTCCGCACTGTCTTTGGCAGTTTGAGCCCTCGCGATCTGGTAAGCTTCGACAGATTCGCAGAGCTCACTATCGAGGTTCGGAAGCTTGTCGAAGGTGCGACACAAGAGGAGCGCAGGAAAGCCAAATGGCTTACCTATCTGTTGCCCCCGCGAGAGGATGAGGATCTCGTATTAGAAGAATCCGGTATTCTTCTGGGCAACTCGTTACAAAGCTCGCAGCAGTCACCTGCGTCCCTTCGGAGGCTCCTGGATGAAACGGCGGATCTCATTGAGTCGCCTTCCTTCGCGCATGTCCTCACTCTCCTGCTCGATGCGGGGTTCTCTTCTCTAGTTGACAAGAAGCTTGCCAAAGAAGCATTCGAGTTTCCCGCCCAGCCAGACGGGAATGTAGTCGTGCCTTACAGCAAAGAACTGAAGAGCACAAAGGTCGTCCTGTTACCCAAGATCCTCTCTGTGCTCACCCGGCAGGCGCACATCATTGGGAATGGCATGCCCAATGAATATCTCCAGGATATGGAGTCAGTCCGTGACTTGGAGTCGTTTGCCGCTGTTGTCTACTCGAGCAACTGGCAGAACGAGGTCCAGGAAGACGGCATGATGGACAGCGCAGTCCATGTCGACTGGCCCGAGGAGCCCGCACAGAAGAACGGAGAGTCCAGCATCTTCGTGGTTGAGCCACAGAGCGGCCTGGAAAGTGCTTGGGAGCGTGCGGTAGCCAAGCCGTGAGAAGCCTCCCGCATTTTCATAGGATAACAATTTATTCTGTCAATGGGCTAGAGTTAAAGGAGCGTCATTTGGGTCACTGGCTTTTCACTCTTCTTTTCCTGGATATTTCTCATTTGTTTAATTAATATTTCCCTGCCAAATACACATTTCATGTTGTGGGATTACAGAGAGCATTGTAAGATTAGAGTGAAAGCATACGATAGGAAAGCATAGGTGGCTACGCAAAGCCAGGCAATGGGTATCAATAGTATTATTGTTGTGGTTGGGCGATATTTAACGTCCCTTGATATATAACACTCGTTCTTACTGTGACGCCACCCCTTGTGTCTGCAGCTTAGGTGCTGCGCATTGAGTCCACAAATCCCCACGCCCGAGCGATGATGAGCTCGAGAGTTTTCGAAAGACCCCTGGGTAGGCACACTCCCCAGTCTGCAGCGGCGAGCCTCGCAAAAAGGCGCGGCTCCCTGAAGAACAGCCAACCGCGGCCCCGAGAGACAATCGTCCAGCGTCAATGGGCGACGACGCAGCAGCTTCGTCTCGAGGTGTCGTGTCTCCCGTGATGTTGTTACAAAGAACAACGACGTAGCGCTAGTAATTGAGGGTGGATTGCGCCGGCGTGCGTCATGGGCAGCCAACAGAGAGGTTCCGCCCAGAACACTATCCGTGAAATGTGTCCTCTGCAGTGGTTCACATAAGGCCTCGGATGAATTGGTCGAGGCCAAGCTCGAACAGCTCGTTCTTCACACCCTCACCGCCCTTGTGCTCGACCGGCGAGAGGGGGTTCTTGACAACTATCCGTCCGTGTCAGCTGGCCTGTCAACTTTCTTCAAGGGCAGAGTGAGGTTTTCTGGGTATCCTTGACTTCGGAACTCCTTTTCAGGGGTTGCGGCTAGAGCAGACCCAGCCAGATCCAGCCAGATCCAACAAGATCTGAATCGCCAACGTCTTGAGATGGAAAAGAAAAGTCACCTACCATATTCTACCCAGAGGTTGATGTATATCTGGTGAAGGACGTTGCGCATGCTCAGGGTCCCCGTGTCGGTGAGGAGGACGAAGCGCAGGTTGGAGGGGGTCTCGTAGTAGTGCAGCTTGTAGTTGGCCGTCTTGAAGCTGATGAAGGCGTCGTCGTCGCCGCCCAGCTTGCGTATCATGTTGCGCAGGGAGAAGACGGTGCCGAAGATGAGCTTGGCATCGTCAGAGGACGTCGTCTGGGAGCTCGCGGGGCGGTCGGTCGTCGGGAGCCATGATTTCATGTAGATGCATTCGGCTGTTGCAGGGCGCACGGATGGTTAGGGATGGTTGCTTCCGGGCAGCGGTTGTGAAGGGGGTTTGGTCTTACTGTGCCGGTCAAATATGTAGAAGGAGTAGACGGTCATGTTGACAAAAGTGTTGCGATGGTCGGGGAGTAATTGGACGGTGGCGGGAATTTGGTTCAATTCGGAACCTTGCTGTAGATGATATATCTAAGTGGCCTCGACTTCGATGCGCCGGAGTTCCCACAAGTTGGTCGATATGGGGCTGGAGATATCGAGGGGCGTAGATCTCGACAGCACGGAGTCTGCGGCGGGATGGTGGTGAGGCTGTTCCTGGATGTCGACGGTTAGTCGATGGGGTTGGCAGCCACGGAGCGGGCCCGTGCCACAGCTCCATAACAGGTATGTTGGGTACAAGGATAAGGCGGTATTAGTGCTGCCCTATCACAATGGCAAGTGCCCTGTTGGTTGAGCTGTAGCTGCCCTGGCTTTGTTCCCCGTCCTGCGGGGCATCCACAGGTCCATAGGGGTCTGGCCAGCGCTTCAGCGTACCTATATTTGGTAGAGCACCACAATACAAATCCATGGCGGGGTCCTCAGCTCCCCCTCCGTTCAGTATAAGTTTCCATGCAGCCTAACGAGGCAATCACCTCAGGCTTGGCCGTCAGCTCACCTCCTTTCTAGCGGCAGTTCCTCTAGGACCAGTGCATTTGCCGCCTCTGCCATTGTTGCGTGGGCAGGTCAGAGTCCCCCGAGAACCGTCCCATCGTCTTGCTCTCTACCAAGAGCCTAGGTAGGAGCTATCAAAGGACTGGATAGACCGCCGTCGCTTCAGACATCCTCCTCCCAGGCCACCCACGTGAGGAATAAAGAGCTGTCGAAACGCCCTGCCCTGCACGGTGATCCTGCGCAATGGCCGAGTCCGTGGACGCCGCCGGTGCGAAGCAAGACGCTTCCGTCGTATCGGAAGCTTTCCAGTCTCTACAGGTTACAGTGGACAACCATGACGATCTTGGTGCAGGGTCTCGTCCCGTGTTCCCACACAATGAGTAGGTGCTTCTATATGGGGGAGGCTCTAAGGGGGGCCACATCCCCTACCTCTACTCACCATCGCGTATTAAACCTGGCTCAATCCGGAAGCTCACTGGTCTCTCTACCCTCAGGTTTGATTCTCATACTGAGCCGAAATATGCCAGCCCTATGAGACATCACAAGCGCACTCCGAGTGCTCATCGCGAGGTCAAGGTAAGATGGGGCACTCCCTCTTTCCCTAATACACTAGACTGTTTGTATGAAACTAATATGAAAATAACAGGAGACGCTTGACGCTCGTGTGGAAATTCTGAGTGACGAGTCTGATGGCAGAACTCACCATAGGATTAACCAGTATGTAATCCAGGATGAGATAGGTCGTGGGTCTTACGGAGCAGTTCATATTGGGACGGATCAGTTTGGCACCGAATATGTAAGTTTTTGCAGGTCTTCGATACCAGGTTATGCCATGTGGTGCAGTGAAGTATATTCACTAACCTCGTTTCCTTCGCAAAGGCCATCAAGGAGTTTTCCAAGGTCCGGCTGCGAAAACGCGCGCAGTCCAACATCCTCCGCCAGGGTCCTCATCGCCCATTTAGGCGGGTTCCCAACAGCAATCTGGAAGCGCATGGTAGCAGTATGCGGACGGCTGAACAGAACGACGCACTCTATCTGATCCGGGAGGAGGTTGCCATCATGAAGAAGTTGAACCACCCCAATCTGGTTCAGCTCATCGAAGTCCTCGATGACCCAGAGGAGGACTCGCTGTACATGGTCATGGAGATGTGCAAGAAGGGTGTCGTGATGCAGGTCGGTCTGGACGAGACGGCGAGGCCATATTCTGAGGAAACCTGCCGTCACCTGTTTCGTGATTTGATTCTGGGCATCGAATATTGTGCGTCCCATCACCCCTTTCCCCAAGGTCAACAAGCGGTAGAAACGAGGACTAACGTCACCAAGTGCACGCTCAAGGAGTCATCCACAGAGATATCAAGCCAGATAACCTTTTGCTCTCTGAGGATGATGTCCTCAAGGTAGTAGACTTCGGCGTCTCTCAGATGTTCGAAAAGCCTGGCCCGATGCGAACCGCCAAGTCCGCAGGCTCGCCTGCGTTTTTGCCCCCGGAGCTCTGTGGTAAGCATGGGGATGTCTCTGGCACAGCTGCCGATATTTGGTCAATGGGAGTATCACTGTACTGCCTCAAATATGGCTCGATTCCGTTCCATACAGAGAGCATGATGGAGATGTACGATGCGATCAAGTCTAAGGAACCCAAGATCCCGGCGGACGAGAATCCAGTCCTTGTTGATCTTTTCAAGAGACTGCTCGAAAAGGATCCTGAGAAGAGAATTACAATGCCGGAACTCAGGGTAAGTGGCGACCTACAACGGCAGCTAACATGTTGCTAAGTGGTACAATAGGAACATCCATGGGTTACTCGTGACGGGACCGATCTTTTGTTATCGGCAGAGGAAAACTGCCAGCACGTAGTTGATCCGCCAAACGAATTGGAACTCAACCATGCCTTCACAAGGAAGATGAACCATCTGCTCTGTGTCATGAAAGTACTGCACAAGTTCAAGACCATCAAAGCGAGAAAACTGGCAGAAGCGAAGGCGCTAGAGGCAGAATCCGAAGGGGGGGACGATTCAGCACAGTCACATCGACGGGCAGTCGAGACGGCCGAGATTGAGGCACTGATTGCACAGCGTCGCAAGTTCCTCAAGCGCGATACCGATGATAGCAGACCCCCCGACCGCGATGTAAGTAACCAGGAGCCGCTTTTCTTGGGGATCGGGACAGGCTCTCGGGATGATTTCAACATGGACGAGCCCAGCCCCAACGTTGTGGCCGACTCACCCACGGCAGTGGATTACAATGTCTACGATCGGGCATACCAGGCGGCCGTGGAGGAGCGGTTGAAGTCGAGCGCGACAAATAAGCCGACGCTGTACCTGACCAGATTTGTGAAGGAGAAGGACCAGCTCAAGGAGCTCGGAGACCTGATCGATGGGTCTAATGCAACCACGCCGCGGTAACAAGGCTAGCTGAGCCGGGCGGTGCCAAGCACAAATAGGCGAGCGGGCATATGCAATCAAAAGGGGTGATGGGCATGCAATCGATGGACAAATCGGGTCTTGCGTTGTGAGCACAGGGCTGGAGCATTGGCCGCTGCGAGGGATCTTATCTGGGTCGAGGATGTGACAGAGGACATTTGCGGTGTGAGATTTGAAACCAGATCAACGCCCGCCGTGCTGGACAACAACTCGGGATCAGGGATGGATGGGTCATGGCTGACAACTTTTTTTTTCTGTTGAGGTATCGATACCCTTTGGTGTTTTGCATATTGCCTGTGCGCACATGTAGATTCACTTTGCATGCCACCGGGGCAAACAGGAGGCCACATCAGGCGCCCGCGAGCTTTCTTGGCACGTCCCGTTCCGCTCCTAGTAACGATAGCAATGGTACGCAAGACGGTACGCCAAGATCCACTGCCCTACAGGCTGGCTCCTTGGTAGACACGTCTTGGCGGCGGATATGCAATTCAATTGCGGAGCGTCCCGAGTTACAGATGCGATGTGCGGCACCACCACCACACACATGTACAGGTCAGCGTGTGTGTGTGTATCACTAGGCATGCATGACTTGTTATCATATGTCGGTAGAGCTATAGTATGGTTCATTCGGGAAGGGGATCAGAGAGGGGCCATGTATCCTGGTGCGTGTTGCTCTGGTTCTCCCGCCTTGCTTTTTCTCGTCCTTGGCATCTATTCCCCTTGCACAACGTCCCCTATACGCCTGCGTAGTGACGCGTTTCCTGTGCTTGGCCATGCTTGGCGGGAGAGCAGAGGGGTCCAGGTGGCTTGGCGGTGAGGCTGCCGATGTGAGGAGACGTTGCAACGGTAGATACGATACATCAATTGCTGTTGATACGCTTGGTTTGATATGATGTGATTGACCGCTGATTCAGCGTTGGTCCGTGAGTTGTCTATCGGTGCGAGGTAATTGGCCGCTGAGAATTCGTGTCTGGTGGAGTGAATCAGTCTATTGAGACAGAGTAAGAGCTGTCATAAATGAGATTAATTCATGGAATTGACTTGGTAGGGACAAAGGTTCATTTGTCTGATATCGGCCTTGGACCTAGGCACACCTCTCGAGAGTCCAAGCTTCACATTGGAAATATACTGCTGACCGATCCCACGATTAAAATAGAAGTGGTAGGGAGAAAGGTTAAAAGCAAAACCAAGAATAGAGTTGCTTGGAGCCTGGGCCGGTCCCGGGTAGGCCAGTAGGCGGCACAGACGGTATTCGGAGCAAGAGGAACATCAATGAATATGTAGGTGATAGTTCTACGGGGAGTGTTGCAGACTCAACCGCCCACTTGCCGGTTTCACCGAGCTGTGAACCGTTGTCTCCAACGTACTGTCTAACTTACTATATGACTTATTATGATTACGTACCGAAGCCGCAGCTGGCGACAATGTTTGACAACCGGTCCAGAGGAGGAGGAACAGCTCGACAAGCGAACATGAGAGAGCAAGGGATAGACCCAGGATGGTGGGTCAGACCATTGGCCTCTCTGTGTATGCGCAGCTGCATGATGCTTATAAAACCACCAGACACTGCATGCTCGTGCAGGCATTCATATGTATGTCTATGCCAAATACATACCATCCACGCCGACGGCACGACAGGGGCATGCAACCCCTACTCACCAAACCATTCTCGAAGCGTTGAGAGTCAAAGTCTCGTCGCGTGCGAGCGGGAAGAATGCCCTTTGCAATCTAGACCGCTGCCCACACCAGAGGCGGGAAATTTTCTGCCCCTCTCCGCCGGTACATGCGTCGTGCCAGCACTCGCGCTTCTTGTCGATGTCGTGCTGATGGACCGATCCAGCCAGCCCAGAAAGTACCACGACTGCCCTTTTGTCCCTTCGTCTGGTCCGGCATCTTAGCCGGCCCCGAGAGGAATGCACCAACATGAGCATATGTACATATATGACAGGTGTTTCTGCGAGAAAGAAACGGGCCGGCCTGGTTTCTGATGTATGTATGTAGATGTAATGCACAGCACAGACACTGTTGCTCACTTCACACCTGCCACCCGCCCCTCCTCCCCGCCCCAGAATATTTTTGCGCTTTCTTTTCTTTTTTCTTCTTTTTTTCGTGCGCAGCCATGATTGCCAAAGAGAGCAGACTCGTGCAAGGCGCCTTTCTGCTTCAGGAGTTTGTGGAGTAAACGGGGAGGTCATTGTACATGTCTAGCCACGAGGTAATTTCCATTTCGCCTCGTTGACAGGATGTAGGTCGCCTGTCGGCTAACGTACAACGAACATGACGTTCTGCATCCAGCAATTGCTTAGAAAGTAGGTACGTAGAGCCAGGCGGCCGCTAATTTGCCCAGCAGACCTGCTGCGGGGAATAAAAGACCCATTGCCACATGTCCCCATTGTAACTGCTTCGAGATAACGAACCCGCGCGCCGAGGGAAAGAGGCCGATGTATACCGCAAGGATTTTCCTCACCTACCCTACACGAGCAGGTACACGTAGGGATATAGAGTAACAGAAATATGTACCTCTCTTTTGCTTTGACTGGCTGGCCCAGACCTGAACCGAGCTGCCGCGGCCTAGGGTGATGGCATGTAGCTTTGAATCCGGTTAAGACCTTGTAGGTACTGGATTACTAAGGTCCCTGTATTTGTCGGCGCCAAGCAGCTTCAGGCTACAGACATCCGAGCAGGCGGATGGTGTGCGGCATTGCAGCACAGGTACCTTGCGGACCAGGCCACCACTGTTTTCAGAACCATGACCCTCGACAACATCTTCCGTCTCATCCTCCGCTCGCTCCCCACCCTTCTGATCCGAGACATGATGTTGCTGCTGAACTGCCGGCTGCTGGCTTGGCCTGCACCGGCCTGCCTCGCCAAAGTGCGAAGTGACGCACCTCTCATGCGGCGTGCATACATACCTGGTAAACTACCACCTCTTACCTACCTGTTTAATGAAGTATTCGCATGCACTGGAGCTGAGGGAAGGGAATCCCGCCGGCTGCCTCCTAGCCCTTCCCCACCACACCCCGCGACTTGCAAGTTACTGGCGGGGTGAGGCGAGCCTGTAGCATATGACCAAGTACTGCACCGGTACCTGCAGCCAGCATCATCCGCTGGCGAGAGCCTTTACCCTATTTCCTGGCCTCGTTCCCGTACGTAAAGCGCTACCTGGGCAAAACCAGCATTTAACCCTCCTCGCCCTCTCTCCCAGTCCAGCCCGCCCAGATCTACTGAACTCATCGCCCGGTCTCGCCTCCTGCTACGGCCACCACTAACCTAATATAAGCCGCTTTCTAATATTCTCGTTGCCCTTGCGCCGAATTCCCTCAGGCCGTCCTAAAATTACCAACCAACCAGCCAGCCAGCCTTTGCAATCTTTTCTCTCCTTCCTCGCTCTTCGCCTTCGATTCTCTTCTCTCCCCTACATCCGGCGCGCAGACCTGTCTTACCAATCATCCTCTCCGTGAGGCTCATCTCGTTGTTCCCCACCGACCCAGCAGAGGCGCACAGGACATCAGCGACACACGAAAAGGGCCCAGAAAGGGTTGCCCTTGCTGCTGGGTTCCTCTGACTTTCGCGATCTGGGCCAAGGAACCAACCCGACCCCTCCAGTGGGTTGCACCAGGACCGACCACCTGCTACCAGCACCCCCCCTGCTGGCGTCTGGTCCATCTCCTTGTACCAGCCCAGGTACCCTCCACAGAACGGGGAGTGTGCTACAGGGCTCAGCGACCCTCCTAAAACTTTGGCTTTTGCGCAGTCGTCACAGGGCTGCTCGTCACCCTAGTCCTAGTGCGCCACCCACTGTTCTTCGTCTGTGCTCTCGGTGCCCGGTCGCTCCCCCGCGACTTCAAAAACCCAGCCTGTGAGCGACTGGGAGTTCGTGAAGACTGCCGCCTCGCATAGAACACATCGCACCTGTATATCACAACGTCTACCCTCTCCCCGAGTCAGCGCCAGCCTTGCTGCGCTGAGCCGTGTCTGGCTCGCCGCTGACTGCGATTCCTTTTCCTTTCTTTCCCGGTTGAACGCCAGTCTTCAAATTAGACATTGCCTTTCTTCGCATTGAGGGCACGCTCCTATACAACCGACCGCATTGTTTCGCCTCGACCCGAATCTTTGTGGTTTTTCATTACTATAAATTATCCTTCGCCACCTCCCCTTATCCCCGATCCCTCTAAATCAACTGCAGAGACAATTGTCCACCAAGGACCACACGAAAATGCCGACGACAACGTTAAGCGAAACCAACCGGCCTGCATCGACCCCGAGCTCGAAGCCTTCATCTCTCAAGTCCCACGATGGCGGCACGAAATCACCGGCCCTGGCCTCTGACGCAGGCTCCGTCCCCAATGGACATACTCCTACACAAAACGGCGACTCGATGTTGAAGCCCCCGACCGCAGAGAAGACCTCCGTCAAGGATCGACTGACCCGCATGTTCTCCAGTAAGGACATGTCGAAACCTGCTAGTCCAGCCCCGAACGGCAGCGATTCTGCAAACCGGCCCCGAGGCTCCTCGTTCAACAACAGCAGCGTCACCAGTGGAACTGCCACGCCCATGTCTCGCAAGGAGTCTGTTTCTGACCAGGGAAGTACCAAGGTCACCAAGCCAAAGGAGCTCACGCAGCGATTCATGTTGAATCCTGCTGCCCCTGGCGGCCATGAGCATCACCTCAAGTCAAGTCGCAGGCAGGAGAAGCTGTCCGATATGTGGCGCACCATCATTGGCAAGAAGCAGGATGCGCCTGATCACGACCTTTCCCTGGTCTCTAACTGGGTTGACACTCTGCGCCAGGAAAAGGAAGAGGCCAATGACAGGAAAGGTGGCCCCAATGCCACTCCCACCCTGATCGAGAAGTACGGAAAGTGCCACGAAGTGGTCGGAAGGGGTGCGTTTGGAATCGTGAGGATATCTCATAAGAAGGTCGCTGGTGCGGGCGGCGAAAAACTCTTTGCCGTTAAGGAGTTCCGCCGGAGACCCGAGGAGACGGAGAAGAAGTATAGCAAGCGGCTCACAGCCGAATTCTGCATCTCTTCTTCCCTCCGCCATCCCAACGTCATACACACTCTTGACCTTCTGAAGGACGCCAAGGGAGACTACTGCGAGGTCATGGAGTTCTGTGCCGGTGGAGACCTTTACACCTTGGTTCTATCGAGCGGGAAGCTCGATGTTGCAGAGGCGGACTGCTTTTTCAAGCAAATGATGAGGGGCGTCCAATATCTCCACGAGATGGGAGTTGCCCATCGCGACCTGAAGCCTGAAAACCTTCTCCTTACAACCCACGGAGGCCTCAAGATCACCGATTTTGGCAACGGAGAGTGTTTCCGCATGGCATGGGAGACCGATGCACACATGGTGACGGGACTGTGTGGTTCTGCTCCCTACATCTCTCCTGAGGAGTACACCGACAAGGAGTTTGATGCACGAGCCGTCGACGTCTGGGCTTGCGGTGTAATTTATATGGCGATGCGCACCGGCCGACACCTGTGGCGAGTAGCTAAGAAAGACGAAGACGAGTTCTACGCACGATATCTCGAGGGCCGGCGCGACGAAGAGGGCTATGGCCCAATTGAATCATTATCACGGGTAAGGCTTTCCCCACCCTGCTCTTGAATCGGTGTGAATTTGAAACTGACTATTCCCTGCAGGCTCGTTGTCGTAACGTCATCTATTCCGTCCTCGACCCTCACCCTACCAGACGGTTGACAGCTGCCCAAGTCCTTAAGTCTGAATGGGTTCGCGAGATCCAGCTCTGCAAAGCCGGCGAGGAAGGCCTATAGCTTCCTTGGCCTCACAAGCTGACAGCTGACCCTATATAGTGGGTTATTGCTATCAGCGCAAACAGACCCGTTTATGTCCCCTTTTCACCACGCTCACCTCAGGTTGCGTAAACAGTTCGGTGAACGGGGGCTGGGCTGTACATACAACCTTTGATACAGTGCTGCTAGACTTTCCTCTCCTCTTTCCCCTTTCCCTTTTATCTTTATATATTTGCTCCTGTCTTGTGAGAGAAGCAAGTGACGGGTTTTCGGCCCAGTCTCTACAGGTTTTGTTCTATCTGGTTTCCAAGTATTCATCAGCGCGAAATCTCTTGGTTTGGGAAAAATGTCAATGGGGCGCTGTCAGGATGATTATTTGATGGGAGTCAACAGAAAGGTGGAGTCTTTTGTTTTTTTAATTCTGTGTTTATTTTATTTTTTTCAGGTTCTATTCTTTTGCTTGGTGAAATCAAGTCTTCTGGGAACGGAGAGGGAGGAGGAAGGGAAAGCCTCACATCGACATAAAGCGGGCCAACACTTACAAAAAACCTCAACCGCAACACACACAACCTGCAACACCTCCCCCCCGACGCGCAGGTTACGTAATTTCAAGAACAATGGTCATATGATGCTTCAACACGGGTGCCAGTTGGACTGGCAAGACATCAAGGGGGGGGTTGGACAACTACATGGTACGTTCTTCTGTCGATCAAGGAAGACGGAAGGGCGTCGAGACGACATAACGTATGTAATGAATATAAATATGCCAACGGTTTACACCGATAGTTCTCCTCCCCCCCCTGTGAAATGATCCTCGATGCTTATTTCTGTAGCCGGTTTGCTTCCCATCATCGCACATTAGAAGAAGATGGGAGTTTCTCATAGGCATACACTTGAAGGAAAGTCATGTGAAGACGAGAGTGTACTTCGTACAACCGTTCATTCTCTATTATACAGCGCCACTAGCTAAACTGACACTCCCCTCAGCCTCCCATGAAGAAGGGTCCAGTCCACACGAGTTGACATGATTCTACCACTGATGCCGGCTCTTCCACTTGGCCCGAAGCCCGAGCCGGGCTGACATCCGCTCTTCCTTCCCCTCCTACTACATTATGGGTGTGTATAACTACTTTGCGTACATTGAATTTGCGCGAAGGAAGTGTTACGTTAATAAGCACAAGCATCTGCCGCAGCTGATTAGGCCACTGGCATTTGCCTGAGAATATATTGTAGCAAGGAGATGTGACGGAGCCAAGTTGGTAGACACAACTTCCCACCTAACAAAGTGCCGAGGTATAGTGCTAGCCCGATTGCCACCCTTCGCGGTAAACATGAAACGCTCATCCAATATCCATTCCAAAAAGATCCCCCCTGCCTCTCAACTCGTCGTTCGTTATAAGATCAAATTATGATCCGTAGTGTTCGTTTTTACACCCCATGGTATTAAGTCCCGGTAGCAAAATGAGGAGAGAAACGTCTCCTCGTCCCATAACCCGCCAAAATCCCTATGAAAGTTCCTGACCTGCCAACCGATCCATTTGTGGCGACCGGTATCGTGGAATTAGAAAGAATATCGAAATTGGTCGGTATCGAAGAGAAATTAAGAAAAAAAAAAAAAAAAGAGAAGATGGGAGGGACAAAGAAAAACAAGTCGGCGCCGACCCTGTGTTGAGTATATCGTATAGGTAGTGCAAACGTATCAAGCCCGCTCCAAAAGAAAGGTGTAGACAAAAAAAAACATGTGAGAAAGATTGATGAAAAAAATTGATCGAGGAGAAATCAGGAATGAAATAGGTCCCACGCTCTCTCGCACAGCTTGAGGAATTCTTCCCTCTTTTGGCGTTGTGTTTCTGGAGAGTCTCGGCCGGCACCAAATGGACCTCTTCTCGCGGAGCTTGGTCCGTAGCCAAGGGGTGGGCTGCCGCCCTCTTCGTACTCAGCCCTAGTCCGTCGTTTCGAGGCGCTTCGGCTGGCTTCAGCAATGCGACTGCCAGGCGCAGGTGAGGGAGGAGTAGGGGGTTGGTGTCCACCGTAGTGCACCAGCTTTGGCAGAAGTTCTGGTCGTCCGCCAGCCAGCTCGTGTTGAGCTTCCTCGGCGGATTTGTATTCCCGAGGACGGGAGGATGGAGGACCAGGTGGTGGAGGAGGACCAGGGGAGGCAGGGGGTGCGCGAGCGCTGTTAGGGTATAGAGATGCGGGAGTGTTATCATGATGTCCAGAGAGGCCCTGACCGAATACATCACTGATTGGAGGCAGACGGTTGTCAGTCTGATTTGCGGGAACATGGTGAATATGCGAGGTACTGGATAGAGCCGAAGGCTGGTTTGCCAGGTGTCGGCTGTAAGGGGTTGGGTTGTTACGGCCAGTAAAACTCTGGCCGAGAGGAGCAGACTGAATCACCCTCTCGTTGGCGAACTGCTTGTGAGATGGAGCTACAATAGACAGGCCTGGGGGTGCCTTGTTCCTTCGCGACATGCCTGGCGTCTTAGCAGCGAAGCTGGAAGTATCTCTATCCGCGGAGCTGTCGCCCTTTGAAGATTGCTGATGCAGCCGTGCCTCGATGATGTGGCGCTGCTGTTCTCGGACGGACATACTTCGCTGGATGTGGTCCTTCATGTGAGGGTCGTCGGTAACAAAGCCAGGTGACAGACAGTGGATGCCCATCTCTTGAATGCCCAGGGGTTCGCGAGCGGTCATGGGTCGGGCAGAGGCGGGGTTTCCAGCGTTGCTGACATTCTTGTTCTTGGACAGGTCAAGCCTCGAAGGTCTCGGCCGCGAGATGGGCATGGAGGGAGAGCCGGGCTCTTTCTTGACAACGATTTTGGGAGGGCCATTGGGGAGGCGTGTGCTGCGTCTGCGGTGAGTTTCTGTACTCGAAGAATCTTCTCCCATAGGCAACTGGGAATTTCTTGTTTCTGCTTATACTTACGAAGTGTGAGGAGATGTGACAGTGAGGCCTGGTGTGTTCTTCGGACTGCTGCTGCTAGTTCGTTGTGAGGGTGTGGCCGTCTTGGGTGCAGATGGGGAGACACTGCCGTGAGCTGTGACGGCCGATGAAAGGGGCGCTACTACTGCTGGCGCTTTCGTCGGGGTAGGGGCGAGATCTGAGAGCGAGGGCCTCTCGTGGGGAGCCGGTGAAGGAGCCATCGCAATCGCGGTACTCATAGTGATGTTGTGGCCGCAAAAGGACAGAAAGAATCCCAAAACCAAGTGCCGCGAAATTGATCTGGAGAGGAAGGGAGGCGTTTCAAATCTTGGTCTGTGGTTGGAGGCAAAAGAGAAAGGTGCGAGGCTGGACGCCGGCCGGCTTGGCACGCGCGACTTGGGCGTTAAAAAGGGTGATAGTTTTTTTTTCGAGACGGTACGCTAGCAGACGGCCAATATCACGTCTGTCGGGGGTTAGGAATGCGCCTCCCGTCGTGGTAGAGGTACCAGCAAATGCTTGGCTGGCCGGCAGTTGAAAGAAGAATTCAAGCACGACAAAGGCGAGGGCCGACAATATACTACAATGCACGCTGTGTGCCGAGTATGGTGATCACGTAACAAGCGCCCAGCTGGCTCTCCTATCCTATCGCAGTGGATAAGATGCGATTTATGCTCGTATCCCGGAACGCAGCCCAAGCTTGGTCGCAGAGGTGATGCGCGCCTAGTAATAGTCGCGGAGTGAGGGGGTGTGTGGCGAATAAGTATTTCTTGCTGGATGTGGGCGCGGTCGAGAGCCGGAGAATCGCACACTGTGGTTGCCGTTGGGTGCGTGAAGGCCGGCCACAACAAACAGCAACAAACGTCGTAAGAACGGCTGCTGGTGAGGAGGATGGCGAGGAGGAGGAGAGGGAGAAGATGAAGGAAAGAGAAAAAAAAATTCACAGCCCGTTGATGAGAAGTTCGAAACAAAGAAGAAGCAGGACGCCCAGCTAATGGAGGGCGGAAGCTCAATTAGGTATGTACCTACGGTGGTGGTCTGGCCCAGGAAAGAGCGGCGCAGGGGGGGAGGGGGTACGCTAAGCCGGAGGGACCTCGCAGTGGGCAGCAGCGATGGGCAGTTGCAACTGGCATCAGATCAGGGGGCGGTTATGGGGAACAGACGTGATGGGAGGGATAAAAAGAGGGGCCGCTAGGACAGCTGGGAGAGGGGCAGCTGTTTCATTTCATGGGCTTTTTTTCCTTCCAATAGGTAGGTAGCCTCTGATGCGTCTGGGCCAAATCGTCTACAATGTGCATCGTACTATGGAGCATGTGTGGTGCGGAAGTTCGAGTCTATCTCGCAGCCAGCCAATTGCCTGCCGACGAGCCGGAATCCTCAGCGGCCAGGCCCTATTCGAACGTCGGGATGCAGCACGCAGCAGCAATACTCAGGTAGCATAGGTGGGTGGGCTGGTGCTGCAGCTTCATTGCATTGTCGCAGCCATGGAGCGAACGAAAATGATGAAAGGGGCTTTTTGGCAACGTGACACAAGAGAGTTCCTGCTACCGCCGCCGCCGTGACCTCTGCCGTCGTCGCCATGCCCAGGTTGTGCCTGGAAGGGTGCGGTGCAGAGCGATCCATTCGCGGGCTTCTGAAGCGATGGCTTCGTTCAGGGGCCCCCTAGTGTTGGGTTAGGACATCCAGCTGGACCACGCGAGAGCAGAGCTCGCCTCTTTCTGCTTTCTCTAACAGGACAATTGGTGGGAGGAGGGGAGAGAGGGGTGGCCTTTGTGAGACAGGGGGGCCGGAGATGGGGGTGTCTCAATCGCCCAGATCACCAAGCACAGTGCTGTTACAGGCCCTGTTGAGCCCCTGCCACTGTACTGCGCCGTACTGATGGATGTGCTACCGTCTAGGCGGCCTGCAGCCTTCGACGTCCTTCCTCGGGGCATCCCTCGCGCATCTGGCTGCTCCTTGTTTTCTCTTTTGCGGCCTTGATCCATGGTTCCATGGGGAAATGAAAAAGAACGATGCATGCATCCAATATTCCAATTGCATGCTTATCTCATCGCATCTCTTATACGACCTGATATTAATCACTAGTGCCCACCTACTTCCGCCCGTATTGCCTTCCTGCAGCTGTGTGTAGCATTTCACCAGCTTCACCGGAGCGACCACTCACACTACTGCACCCCACGGAGCTGAAGGTAGAAGCATCATTGCTTGCCGGGCAGAAGGGACAACAAAGACGACGAGGACACACTGTAGGATAGTCGTCTTGAGAGGGGTCGAAACCAGGAGGCACTACTCCTTGGTCAATATCTCCGGCTCCCCCATCCATCTATTACGACCTGAAGGTGATGTACATCATGGACAGGCGGCAGCCCACTATAATCCAGGGTACCGGAGGTGTTGCTCACGGAAAGTTCCTTTAATTTTTGTCACTCTCTCCAACCACCGGTGTCGTGGAATGTTTGGCATGGACCCAGTGACGCATAAGCCTAATAGTCATTCTTGCTCTGTAACCCAGACTCTGATTCACCCGGGGTTTGCGATGAACACTCGGTTGTTTGCAACAGAACCGGCGGCTGCAAATGCAGTCCCAGCTAGGCCGGGACACAGTCGTGGTACGGGTTCTGCTGTGTCTGTACCGGGCGAGTTGCGGCACGGCTTGGTGATTGATTTGCCCAGGTTAGGCAACTAGTTAATATCTGGGGATCTGCAAACGGCGCGGCCGCCTCACCCAGTTAGCGATCAGACCCTGGATTTCTGATGAAACGTACTTGCCAAAGCCACCAAACTTGGGATGCTTCAAGACGAACTAGCTGGTCTTGCTCTCTTACATGCTATGCCATGTGATCGAAAAGCACGCAAAAGCTTACCTCCTGTTCCGTCACCCCTCCCTTCGTTCTCAAATTTTCAAATTCTCTTTGCTTTTTCCCATCTTGATCTGTGATTTGCAGCCAAGCGTACAACATGGCAATAATCTGTGGTGAGGTCACCTAACATTGGCCCTAGCGGGACATTTGATGCGAGCGAGCCACTTTATTTTAATTAATTAGCTGTGTACACGTAGGACGATGATCTACCGTTGATGAATCTCGTCTGCTTGCTGATCTGATATATTGGAACCTCATCTCAACAAAAGAGCCTCCCCTCCTCGCCCAGCTCCTGCACCTGATACGGGCTTCGCTTGAGGATTGAATTTGATGGTACACGGCATGGTGGATGGGGCATGAACTCAGCGGAATACGAGATGCTCCAATCCAATCACCAAGAGCGGGCAATCTCTTTGGTGTGACTTTACGGTGGTAGACCTGAATCCTCACACACATCCATACACTCACCTATCTTGGACCACACAGAGAGTGTTGCATGGCTCACTGAAGGAGATCCTCCAATATAACACAACCCAGACCACAGTGTCGCATTATACTCCGTCGGGGTTTTCACATCTGGTTGTTGTTTGCGATCTTCGAAATATTTCCCAATAGTACAAGGCCATATTATGGTACTTTGCCTCTATAATGTTTCTGCATGGAAACGAGGGTGGATTGGCCGGTAAGCTGACACGTCGGACGCTCCGAGAATGGTAATAGAAGCAGGCCTGGCCACTGCCCATCGCTCAGGATGGAAATCATCGCGTACTTGGACTCTCAACGGGGTGGGTACTGCTGCCCCGCGGATGGGCCTTGCTGTACATGTGTAAGTCGACTTTGGGGTACTACCGCGCCCCAACTCCCAGCATGCATATATCATACTGTACAGCACATACGGCGGCCGCAGGTGAGGTCCTCCATATCAGTCATTCTCCTCATGGCTGTGCCAGTTCGGCTAACGAGGAGCTTGGGAGCAAAAATGGCCCTATCAGTGGTGGCGAATCACCACTTGCTACGTGCTAGCACCCCTGATCATTACGACCTCGGCCAGTTTTTCTGTGCCATCCAGCCCTAACGAGATGCCTGCCACTCTCCTCCAAAGAGCGATCTGGTTGATACTGATTGGAGAGGCGGGAAGGAGGGAAAATTGACCGACATGGCCCCAGTCTCCGGCACACACAGTACGCAGAACGCAGAAACCTCGAACACAAGTGATGCCCCCCCCTAACTACCTCCACACCACAAGAAGCACGCGCTGGCGCCCTCACCTGAGACGTCGTCTCAGGTTGTTGCAGGGATAGTGGGCCCAGGTTTCTGCACATCGGGCCATGCTCACTCCTGACTGGCCAGCTTTCCCGCCCCTCCTCCCCCCCCAAACCCAATGGCCAATTTGGAGAGCTGGAGAACTCAGATCTCGCTTCGTACCCAACCATTTGGGGCTCGTCGAACCAGCAATTCGTCAGCCAGTAAGTAGCTGGACTGACAGGTCGCCCTGTGCCAATCACTTGACTCGGGAAAACCGGGGCCCTCCAATAGTCTCGATTCACCTGGTCTCAGGTTCCACAGCCGGACTTGCAGCTACAGACGACGCCAGTTCACATGCTAGGACGGCACTGGTGATGCTGCAGTGGCAGCGAGAAAGCATGATCTTTGCATATTCAGTCCGAGCTGATTATCGAGCACCTCCCGGTTCTAGTTGCCCCCAACGCGCGAACAGGATGACTTGCCATTATGATACGATGCCACACAACCGCTGGCAAGCCGCTAGTTCACATAGGGCCAAGCGGTGCTCAGGTAAAACATGGGAAGCGTTGCCATCTCCAACATTACAAGCGGTAGTCGCCGCGACTATGCGAGCTTGTTGCAACTACCAGAGAGGAAGCTCCCTTTAGGCGGACTCGGCCGGACAGCCATGCATATTCAAGCCTCCTCACTCACACACACCCCCGGTCTCCCTAGAAAACTGCCGCATGTGGTGGCCACTTTATCCGAACGGATGGAGATGGGGGAGAGATGAGAGAGGCCTGGCCACCCCTGCCGGCCGAGCCTGTCTTCTCGGCGGAACAAACCTGATTGAGAAACGAAGAATCAAGAAGATTAAAGAGCACTCGTTACCCCTCATCTGCATCAGGTATCGGTATCAGGTATCAGGTGTGTGCGTTCAGCTATCAAAGGTCGCATGCCACTACCGTGAATTGGATTCTTGGTCCGACCCCAACCGCAGCTCGGTTCCGAAACGACTGGCCACCTGCCCTTCGGAGGATATGCAGCATATCTTGGCAAGGGCATTCAACAGGTCGCCAATGGTCCAACTCTCACCGTTCGCACATTTGCATTTCAAGGTTTGGAGGGGAGCGGGGGTGCAAAAGGCCCTCCTGCAAGGATACTCTTCGACCAAGCAGATTTTCAATAGGGCTGCGACTGGCTGTAAATTGTGCGCCGGACAAGTGCCAATCAGGTGCTCGATGCCATTACCATGTTTGTGGGCCGCTGGCGGCTCAGCCTTATGAGATTCCTATAACTGATTTTGCCTATCTGGTGAGTTAAACTTGACTACTATCTAAGAATTATCGAGGGCATCCTGGTATGTCAGAGAGTGACCCCGGGCTCATTCTGTGGTTTCTTCTAAAGCCGAAACGTTGAAAACATCAATGCTTTGGCCCCTTGCTGCGCATCGTTCGTGAATGGCTTCCCACGGCACCTCTCTATGCTTCCGACTTGTCCCCTTGTAATGGTTTGCGGACAATCTGGGTTTCAACCTTTGGCCGCACCGCACTGTGATTGCTGAAGGCTTGCACGATATCCGGATGAGTTTCATCGAGTGCTAGGGACATGGCAGACTCGTCGTCTACTGCCTCAATGTCTGCCCCATGTTTCAACAAGACCCGGATAGTCTCGAACTCGACCTCCTTGGCAGCATAAGCTAATGGCGTCTTGTGGAAGCAGTCTTCGCTTTCGATTTTCGCTCCATTGCTGATCAACAGTTCAGCTAGCTTGCAATGTCCGCTTTCAGATGCATGCGATAAAGGCGATCTTCCCCTACCATCTGAAGAATGGGGACTGGCATTGTATTCGATCAGTTTCATAGCGATATGCACATGATTGCCTAGGATAGCATAAAGTAAAGGGGACCTCTTTTCCTCATCTTGGAAATTGAGATTGGCTCCCCTCTCAACGAGAAGCCGTACGATTGATTCGTATCCAGCTTCAGAAGCATAACAGAGCGGTGACTTCTGTTCATTTAGGATCGGGTCCAGTTGTGCGCCTTGATCAATCAGGATTCGAACAATATTCTCATGGCCATTCTCTGCAGCGAAACAGAGCGGAGTTTGGGACTTGTCGTTGGGCCAATCCACAGCTGCGCCATGCTGAAGAAGCAGTTCAACTATGCTCTCCAACCCGTCGGCAGCCGCGAAGGATAGAGCTGATGTGGATTTCCAGAGATGAGTCAAGGAAGGATCAGGTCTGAAGCGCCTCTCCAGAAGAAGCTTGACAATGGGAAGTTACCGTACTCTCACCGCTGCCAGTAAGAAAGCCGTCGGACTTTCCTTCTCTTCTTCCATCTCGTGAGCCCGGATGCCACTGCGATGTAATAGCATTCTTATAATCATTTCGTTGCCTCCTTGTATTGCTGCGAAGATTGCCTCGCGGCCTTCTCTGCGTCGCAGCCAAGATTCAATACTACTAAAGGTGAGCAAGTACCAGACTGTCTGAACAAGGCCGTTTCGGGATGTAGTCATCAAACCAGATCCACCGTCCAAGTGTGAGCGGTGTTCATTGGGACGATCTTCATCATAAGCCTTGATGAATCTGCGAACATTCGATCCTCGTGAAAGTGGCCTTAGGATGCAAATTTTCCTCACTGACCCTAGAGTCTGTAGCATTGAGTTCCTGCCAACCCCCACGAGTACTGAACTTAATATTCGTTGGAATCGTTCCATCTTCAGGTCGAGATCCTTGACATAAGTAGCAATGGATTCATTCTCCTTTCTCGGGTACCGACAGTTCAGGAGCGCCATGCCAATACCCGTTCCATCCCACGTTCCTAGAAATCGCGCCTCGAGGTGGATGCCACTGCTGCTTATGCACGGACTAGCATAGGCTTCATCATCGGACTGATATGGAACAATGTGGCCAGAGTCTCTGAACGCATCTGGCGACCTGGCTAGGAGGCTCCCATCATTGCCCGAAGATGACCACGCAAAGAGACTGCGGTCATCTGATACTCTAATTATCTCTTCCTGAAGACTTATGAAAGCGTTTTCTCCTTCGCCATAGATCGGGGACATGTAGATTCCAAAGATGCCGAGAAGCGAGTAGGCGCGATCCTCGACCCTCGTTGTCGTCCGCGATGCTGCCAAGGACATATTTTGGGCGACACTGTACTTAGAGAGATCCACGCCTGTGTTTCCGCACAGAAGCTCCTCGGGGATTCCTGTACGATTTGATAATACCTTGCGCAGTCCGTCTTTGTTGCCCAGCTCTCTCCAGTTCTGATCCAGGAATATGACGACTAACGGCGCAATGAGTTCTTGAAGAGTCCACCCCCTCGTGAACCATTTACTCTCTGTTATTTCCTCCGGTGATGATACGTCGGCTAGATACGCATAGCATACCTTGGCTTCTTCATACCAAGTGTACATTGAGTTGATGGCCTCTGACAGCTCGGCACTACTCGTTTTGTCGATGCAGCAGGTGTCGATCCAGGCATATTTGAAGCCATCCAATAGGGCCTTTTTGCAACAATCCCGGACCTTTTGGTACCCTTTCTTAGGATTTGCGCAGGATCTCTGGATATCTTGTAGGGTTACCTCCTCTTGACCCTAGACATGTGACAAGATGGCGTACTCTGGTCTATCGCCATTAGGAATTTCAGTGAGAGTGATGGGCCTTGTATCGAGGAGACGCATGCTGTGCGATGATGAAATCGAACGTCACTATTGAGGGCATACACTTATGTCGAAAGCCGATTGCGTATTTAGGGGATCTGGATGCAAATGCTCATAGGCAATCCGTGATTTTCATACGAGCAATAGAGATGGAGATTGAAGTATCACACACTCCGAGTTGCGCGTAGATTGGGTTGATGAGCAAGCTGTCAGCATCACGGGATGGCAGTGGTAAGGCATACTTACACTGGGCATATATGCATAACTACACCTCTACATGACCAACGAAACTCACAGGGGCTTCTTTCTATATCCTACCGAATTGCTCACACATTTCCATATAAGCCCTTAATACGTGATGGGCTTACAAAAATCCCCTATTTATATCAATTCTTTTATCTCCAACTTAATTTGATCAAATGATTAAAACGTCGGAATGTCTTTTGCTGGTTGAAGAGAAGGCGTCAAGGCATGATGGTGGGTCAATGTAGTGGCTGGTGGGGCTTTGCGCCACATGTCCCACGCCACACTAGGCTCAAAATTTCTGAGCGCCCCAATCAAGAACTTCGATGACTTTTATCAACTCGAATGAAGATCGCAAAACAGGGAGTGAAGGAAGGAATTGTCGCTTTCAAAACCTTAATCGTTTTTATTCTCCACACACTGTAAGATTACAGCATCAATGCCTGGTCGAACCAAGAAAGACGAGCCAACGGCTCAAGATACAAACATGGAGGACGCCCCGCCCTCAGCACAGCCAGAGGCAGAAGAAGTAGATAACGAGGACCAGGAGGAAGCTCCAGAGGAAGAGGAGATCGAGCCGCAGCGGGTCAGAATTGTAAGATCTACCAGTTCTCTTTGGACAATTCCCGGCCTTCTTGCTAACTTGAATACAAGCTCCCGGGCTCTACGGACACTGCTGCCTCATTTGAGTTCGTCGATGAGGGACACACAGTCGGCAATGCGCTGAGATACATCATCATGAAGAAGTAAGATTTATTTTTGGCCCCCAAAGAAAGGCCCTATAACACGAAAAGCGGTATAGCCTAACTCATAGTGATAGCCCCGACGTCGAGTTTTGCGCATACTCCATCCCTCACCCTTCTGAGCCTAAGATGAATCTGCGAATACAGACCTACGGTTGGTGCCCTTCCACTCATTAACTGACCTTGCAACATCGGCGCTAACTGGTTAATCAGACGGCCTTGCCGTGGATGCCTTGAAGAAGGGCCTGGCTGACTTACAGGACATCTGCGACGTTGTCACTGATGAGTTTACCACAAAGAAAGATCAGTTCAATGCAGAGCATGGGATTGTTCGGTAGGGGAATTGGGTACTTGGGGTACAATTCGCTGGATTAGACATGGGTTTCATCACCAATTAGACATAAAAGTTCTCTGGGCGTTATGGAAATAGTCTCTTTTTTTCGCATGCATACGGCCTGGCCTATAGTTATATGTACAAATGAACAGCGCGCGTTGCCTCTAGTTGCGGCCCTGAACAAATGATCCTCACGTTAGCATCCGAGTTACTCGGCTGGATATGCGAAACAACCTACCTCTAGGAAACCAGACATGAAGCTGGATGGTAGTCTCTTGTCCCCTCTGAAGTTCTCGTCCTTGAAGTATGACATGACGTGGGTAGTTTGCTTCCAGAAGTTCATCATTTCCTGCCCAGCCCTGTGTTAGCCGACGCGCGCCACAGCTGCGATAACAAGCGCAAAATCCGTACCTGGTACTCGGCATGCGACTTGAAGATGAGGACGTCGGCGACTCGGAGCTTGTCAACGTATCGCTGGCGCTCGAATTCCTCTCGTATCCGGGTGCGAATGGTCGAGATGGGCATCGGAAGGTTGTACATGGTCTGGATCTCGGGGACCTGGCAACTGTGTCAGTCGTATGGTCTTTGGCGTGCCCTTTGGGGACAATCGGTAATCAGGTGGGTATGGTAGCCGTTGGCAATCCAATTGCTGAGATAGAGGTTATGAGAGTAACATACAGCTCGAATCCATTCCCGGTAGGAGGCGAGCACTCGGCGCTTGGCCTCGCCCCAGTTGGCGGCTGTAAAGGCAAAAGTCAGCGTTTTTCTGGGTGATATCGGTGATTGATCTTACACTGGGCCGTCTTCTTGGCGAATTGAGTCGGGGTGATAGCCATGGCGAGCGAACGATGCTGTGCAATGCTGGTGAACTACTCCCTCAAAGCTGCTCTGACGTTGAGCAATGAGTGCAGGCCTAATGGTAATCGGCTATGCTCGAGCAAATCACGTGCCAGTAGACCGAAGCCGCGCCACAGGTTGCCGCGTGCGCCACATTTAAGGGCCCCTCCATCTCAGCTAGCCAGGTCCAGGCGACCATGTTTTAGATCTTCGCCTTAATTTAGTAAGGCGAGCAGCAATACAATACCAACGCGGAAGGCTTTAGAATTTCTACGACTTTGCAACATAATTAAGCATCACCCCGACGCCACCACGATGCCCGCGATCCGCCATGCTTCGAAGAGAAAACCCCCGCCGGAGGGCTTCAGCGATCTCGAAGATGACCTTCTGATCTTCGCCAACAAGATGAAGGATGCTCAGAACAAGCCTTCAACAGGACCCAAGCACCAAGCTCAATGGGAGGTCTTTCAGATTTCCCATCAGCGCAGCCGCTACGTCTACGAGCTGTATTACGAGAAGGAGGCGATCAGCAAGCAACTTTACGATTGGTTATTGAAGAATGGATATGCCGATGCGATGCTCATTGCCAAGTGGAAGAAGCAGGGCTACGAAAAGGTTCGTACCAGTTCTTATGAGGAATCTGTTTCTATTGATATAAGGAATGATGACTTTTTGCTAACTATTTCTTAAGCTATGCTGTCTTCGCTGTGTCCAAACGAAAGAGACGAACTTCAACAGCACCTGCATATGCCGAGTCCCTCGAGCGCAGATGAAGGAGGGCCACGATGTCCAGTGTGTTAGCTGTGGCTGCCGAGGGTGCGCATCGACTGACTGAGCAGCTCTATCGCCACACGGGCTTGGAAGTTGCTTGGGAAGAGTACACTCGCATATTAGGGTCGACAGCGAAGGCGTTCCGGAATATTTTTGATGGGTTCTTTACAGCCTGCATTCACAAAGAAAGCATTATCTTATATTTGGTAACTTGGTCATGCTGTGAGGTAGAGCAACCCTTTTGTCATTTTTACAAAAATAGGGTTTATTGCATAACAACTGATTCTTTGAGTCATAGCCAACCGTTTCCCATTCCCGTCGTGATATCTTACTCTCAAGTCTTTGAGAATCCTGCTCGCCCACGCCCGAAACGAATGCTGGGCGGCACGAACTGTAGTGAGGACATGGCGTCTGTGAGATCCGTCATCTCCTTGTCGCCTTTCTCGGGTGCTGCTTGCTTCGATGCCTTGTTTTCTGCTGATGGCTTCTTGGGAGTCTTGTCAGTCTGAGTCTCGACCTGCCCCTTTAAGCTGTCTCGGCGCCGGGGCTCCTTCGATTGGGTCGTTGCTGTGGATGATCGTCTTCTGTGGTGGCCATTCTCTGTGAGCAGTGATCGTCTACCGTCGATGCCGTCTTTAGTAATGGCGAAGAAGAAATTCTTGGGATACATGTGCTTGTCAATCATGTGCATGCGTCGCTTCTGATGAGTCATGCACTTCCTCTCGCAACCTTCAACAAAACAGGAATACTATTGCCTAGTCAGCAAAGCGGGAAATGAAGGGGGGGTTAGGTTTGGGGTCCGTTATTGGCACGGAGGGTAACTTACAGTATGTTCACCATTGTCTCTCTTAATGACGACGAGAGGGTCATGGAATTCCTCGATATGAAGTCCGAGAAGGTGGTGCGAAGGGAAATTCTTCCGGCATTCTAGGCATCGGTTTGTATGGAACTTGCTGTAATGGGTTTCATAGTCGCCATACGTCGTGAACTTGAGAGGTTCCTTATGGGGGGGTAGGGAGCATCGCATGGCTACCGAGTTCTGGTCGTCTTCGTCTCCGCTTTCCACTGCCGAGTCTAGCTCAGTATACTTGACCGCAGGGCGTAGAGAAACTTCGGCATCGGGCCCGGATTCTATAGCTTCTTCGGGCTCTCGTGAGCGCTTCATCTTTTTGCGGTGAGAGGACAGAGAGCTTTGGTGGGGTATTTTATTACTTAGGTATCCAGCCTCGGCACGAAGCTTGGTCCAGATATCCGCCTGTGAACCACTTTGATTGCCTGTCCTACTTATAGGTGTCCTGGGGATTTCGGCGTCACAAAGAAAGGCTGTCGCTGATAAACAAGGCTGCTAACTCACTGTTGCTGGTAAGGTGTGAGAGATACCTAGAAGTGGTGAGTGGCTTGGTCACGAAAATCATCCATTTGGCACTACGTCGATAGTGGGGAACCCTTGCTTGGTTCCTCGAAGGTCTCGGACCCCTGTTGGCCAGAATAAAATACTGCCGTACCTGAACAGTGACAGCTGTTGGTTCAATGCGATAGTGGCCAACGAGGTACAACCCTCCATTATGTACCATATATGGATGATTCCGAACGGAAAGGAATTGACATCCTACCGCTTGTTTCTCGTACATGTTAGGCCAATAGTTCATCCATCTAGGTACTATTTACTGGCAGCAATTATGGCATCCCAGCGATACCAATATGTATATCTCGAAGTAAAGCGCTCTACTACGTACATGCTGTTGGTTGGTTCAGAAGCCAACCAGGAAAGGACGAGGGGGGAGATGAGGCACAGAGACAAAGGGAGAGTGAGACATGAATGCGCAAAGCATCCCACAATCCGAGAAAGAGAAGACGCTAGATAATGGGTAGAATTGTCAGGACAATACCAGGCAATCTGTATTTGACTGACATGCTCTGCCAAGCGAGAACCTACATCATCTCTAGGTAACCTTAATCCATCGCCTCGCCGCAAACTGCAACCTTCGTGATCAAACCGGTGGAGAGTCCATGTACCTCCACTGCGACTGGACCCGAAGAAATCCCACTCCGCCCGACGAGACTGGGTCGGGCCACTAACCCGACATAATTTTAGTAGAGCACGTACGCTTGAGAACCTACTGTACTGAAAGTTGAGGGGCTCGCCTCACCCGCCGGCTACAAGTTCAGACTCGCGTCAACACACTCTCACCACTGTGTCGCATTCTCCACCCCGGTCTTCGCTTCACAATCGAGTACGTCCGAGTCTGCTGCCAACAACAATAACCTTTTCTCCTTGCGCCGCCCCGTCGCCGCCACCGTAAACACCTCGAGCAAATGTGTTCCCTGACGGCCGCCGCTTTGATAAATGAAAGTCGCGACCTCCTCGGACACCTTGCACTTGTCCTCCCTCCGAGATATGAAATGCCTTGAGCCCTACGTCTTTCTTGGCCGAGAGTATGAGTTATGATCCAGCCGCATAGCTGAGAACACCCGCCTACTTCCATCTTGTCGCCGAGCCTGCTTTGCGCAAGACTACATCCCCCTCCTCTCCCCGTCTCCGCCGGCACTGGGAAGGCTCTCGAAATCTCGCCCTCCAGAAAACCGACAATGGCTACGCCTGGTAACCAGGCCAAGCAGGCATGGCAGTAAGTTTTTCCTGTCTTCAATGATTATCCCGTCGCTTGCTTGAACACTACACCCTGCTCTCGGAGATTTTACCGTGTCTTGGATTTTTTTTCTCCTCTGTGCTCCTCTCTCCCCGAACAGATCATGAATGCTGACTACATATTTCAACCAGTCAAGCCCTCAAGCTGCGCAAGCACTTGACGAAACAGATAGAGAAGTTGAAAGCAGATGGCTCGTCATCTGGCACGAATGTTTCCCACTTTGATGCTATTGGCGAAAGCCTGGAGCAGTGAGTGCCGACTGGACCCCGATTTGCGCATGATAGTCTACTAACCTCTTGGATTTCCCCTTCTACTCTACAGATTTCGCCTTGCCTGCGTGTCTACCATTTTCCTCGATTTCGAATTTGCCGTTTCTGAGACGTCCGAAGATATACTGTGGCAAGTTCACAGCACTATCAACTCCGAGTTCCGTCGAGTTTTAAGCAAATTCCGAAATAATTCGGCGCATGTTGTCGAAAGACGCAGGGTGGAAACAAAGTATAACCAATTTCTGCGGATAGCGCAACAGTTTTATAAGGGATACATCCAGCGCCTATCTGCTCGTTATGACGTCCGGGAGCTCAAGCGTGTTGCCCATGGCATTGCCGCCGAGCAGATGCCGGCAACCGATATGATAAGCCCTGTGTCGGAGGACTTGAAATCCAAAGTTTTGACCTCTTGCCACTCTACCTTGATTCGCCTTGGAGATTTGGCGCGTTACAGAACTCAGGCAAAGCATAAGAAGTCGAGCTATGAGACCGCGCTCTCATATTACAGCCTGGCGCATGACCTTGTCCCTGATTCTGGGTTCGCTTTTCATCAGATGGGCATTATCAACCTCGACGAAGGAAACCATCTTGACGTCATTTATCATTTTTACCGTGCGTGGGCTGTCAAGGACCCTCATCCGAACGCCAAGTCGAATCTCGAATCCAAGTTCAAGGGCCTCCAGACTGCCAATTCCAATTCGAGGAACAAGTCATCGGTATCCACGCCCAATGATGCGTTCATCATTTGGTTTGTTCGGCTGCAGGCATTGTTCTACAAGGGAGAGGCGGTCACACCCCAGCACACTGAGCTTGATAAAGAGGTCATCCACCGTCTGGCAATGGCTGCTAAAGATCCTGCCACTGCACCCATTTTGTTGAAGATGTCACTTGTCAATATTGCTGCATACTGCATTTCTTCCGCTCAATATAAAGGTAAGCCTGCTGAACCGCAAAACAATTCGTCCTCGGATCTAACAACCTCAGATTCCAAATCAGAGACTGCCTTCCGATTTTGGCAATATTCTTTGGATTTCAACATCCGATTTATTCAAAAGTTGTGCGATATCATCGCGGATGACCTCAAGCAGTCCCTGTCCCAGAAAGAAGAAGCATCGACTGAAGGAGGTCTGGCGATTCCGGACCTACCAACTGTCAATGCTCTTCTCCCAATTCTGCGAATTTCTTGCATCTGGCTTGCCACTCATCGCCGCGAGGTTTTCGCTGTGACGGGTGCGCTTAGCAATTCTATGGTTTCGTTGGTTAAGAGTTTGGCAACTGTCATTACCCTGATAGCGGCGGCAACATACTCGCGGACGGATCTGGCTACCTGCCCATATCTCCTTGACGAAGATGTGGAGATACGCGGCCTAAAATCATTCGGCGAAGATATGGTCCCAGAAGCATGCAGATGCCACATTGACGATAACGGCAAGGTGAAGCTTCATTTGCAGTCCAAGGACGATCGTCTCCCCACGGCACGTGAAGTCACAGGCAGAATGTTGGACACACTGCGTTGTGCTTATTTCTTGACTGAGGACCCAACTGTCCCGATTACTACTCAGGTTTATGACGGCTGGCTTGTATTCGTGTATCAAACGGTCACAGCCTCTCAGCAACAGAGTGAGGTCCCTGTCTCTCAACAGAGGAGTGAGATTCCAGACTCTCAACAAGAGAGTGAGGTTCCAGACTCTGTGCCCACTGACTCTGCCCCCACCGCCTCTGTCCCGCCTACCTCTGCTCCCGTTTCTTCAGATGTTCCGCTGGAGAAGAAAGCTCATGCAAAGAGATTGCCCCGTTTAGATGTCGGGGCGTCGAATAGCCAGTCTTCACCACGTGGGCATAATCTGGCTGCCAGCTCCAGCCCTCTACCCACCTCCAAGGCTGCTACTGCTGACGTTGCAGCAATTAACGGGCTGGACGATGCCGACAAGACTGTTGTCAACATGCTGTCTCCATTCATCGATTGCCCGTCTCCAGAATCGGATCATGATATGGACGAGACATCTTATGGCATGCACAGTGCAACTGCCAATGAAATCGCACAAGAGCTCCTGGCTAAATACGAACCCGAGCAGCAGGTCGACCCTGAGGCAGACCCAAGCTCGTTCGCATCAACTTCTGGGAGGTTTGCGCCTATGCATTGGGCTAGCTGGGACCCGAAGCCTACTTCCTCAGGAATGCTTCGATCGACTTCGATGCTGGGCAATGGAACTCTGCCTATCCATCTTAGCCCAGGCCGCTCATCTCGTGCTTCGGTCCCTGCCGGAGAAAGCCTCGATGACCCGTTCCGATCACCAAGTCAGCGATCCCCAAGAAGTCTGCAGTCTCGAGCTGCCAGTGGACTTGGAAACTCACACTCCTTGGCAGAGGAGGCTCATAGGAGCCAGTTGCTTCAGGCGTTCTCCAACTCGCCTGCCCCTCGCCAGGCTTCTCTCTCTGGGTGGCCACAGGATCAGAATGCGTCTTTGGGTTCAACTTGGGGAGTTTCTCTAGGTACCGATATGGGAATCACATCCTCAAGCAACTTCACAAATGTCAGCAGTCTCTATCAAGGCACACCAAGCAATGGGTTTATCCAAGCCGGTATGCCCATTTATGGCAGTGGTTCCATGGAAAGCAATCGAGTTCAAAATGGAGGTTCCCGAGAACAGCCAGCTTCCTCGTCGACTCGCCGCCTTCAAATGGATAACAGAGCATGGAACTACAACGCAAAGGTCTTGCAGTCAGCATTTCAGGGTGAGGAGTAATCGCGCTACGGCTATAGGGTTCACGCAATTAGTGACACCTAGACCTGCTATTTATTCCCTACCCACCAGCATCGGTTGCTGGGTGGTGCACGCCGGAGTCTTTACCTGCAACCTTGGCCTTTGCTCGAGTCAGATTCAGGATGATGACTAGACCTTGCAACAAGATGTTTCAAGTTGTTGTTGTGCTTAGCTTGGGAGTCTCAACTCACATCTACGCAATGTCTCTGTCCCTCACCAAAAGCCTGCTAGAGTGAGCATTTGTTTCGACATCTCGACTACCATTTTGGACCGATGGATTTCTGCCTTTTGGCGCGGTAGCTCTCTCGAAGCTATGCGATCCTACAGGAGCTGGATTTGTTAGACCAAGTAGTGTGAAACAACGAAGTAGTATCGTTATTAGAGATAGTTCGCAGTGCCCGTTGGGCTTGGCCATGGAGGTTCAAACTATGCTTACACTGATGGACGGGTGGTGAAAGAAGGGGGTTTTATCTTGAGTGTCAAACCCGTTCAGAATTTTTTATTTTTCATGTTTCAAGTATTTCTTGATAAGATGAATGTTGCATCGTGGAGGATGCTAGCCGCTATGAGAATAAGACGTTCCCTTGATTTATGGGCTCTCTCAAATGCAAAACGCCGTTGTTGAAACCTTTTCCATGTCTTCCATATTTGTTCATAACTCTACGCCGTGCTCATTACGACATACATGGCTCCTCCCAGGAGCCCTCAGGAGCTTAACTCCTCTGATAATCTATTGGCCATAGACCTGCTTGGGGAAGGGGTAACTAGGAAAATTGGTCAGTATTTTGGAAAAACGAAGGGTTACCGATTTAGACTCACGATGGGCCAAGCTCCTGGATGCTCAGCTTGGCAAGCCACTGGCCCATATCGATGGAGGTGGCGAGGGACTTGCCCTCAAGAAGGCCAGCCAAGAAACCACCAGCGAAAGCATCACCGGCACCGTTGGTGTCGTTGATCTTGGCGGGTTCAATGGCGTGGACAGGGAACTCCTGGATGGCATCCTCGCCCTGGATGGCGACGAGGGTGGGCTCGGTGCCCTGGGTGACGATGGCGACGCGCTTGCGCTTGCCGTTCTCCTTGGGCAGGTTGGCGAGGACCTTGACGACGTCCTTGGGCTCCTTGGAGGGGAGGTCGTGGGACTCGGCGTAGGCGGCGGCCTCGGTCTCGTTGCCGATGATGTAGTCCCAGTAAGGGGCAGAGGCGTCAACGACCTCCTTGAAGAACTGGGGGATGAAGGGGGCAGAGAGGGAGAGAACAAAGGTCTTGTTGTGCTCAGCGGCCTGCTTGGCAAGCTCCATGATGGCAGGAGGAGAGACTGGTGGCTGGGTCAGCGAATGGCGTGCTGCATTAGGAAATGTTAGGGTTATTTGAAGACGTACCAGTGAAGTGGAAGCCGCCAATGTAGTAGACCTCAGCGTTCTCAACGAGGCTCCAGATCTCGGGCTTCTTCAAGTGGTCAAGGCCGTAGTGGTTGGCAGCACCAAGGTCAGTGACGAGACTGCGGTTGTGGCCAGTGATGATGGCACCGCAGCGGCCGGTCTTCTCCTTGGGGTCAACACGGTACTCGACGCGAAGGCCAGCCTGCTTGACGGCATCCTTGAGGATGGCGGAGTACTTGTCGTCACCAGCACCACCAAGGTAGACAACGCTGTTGGGGGGCAGGATGTACTGGGCACCACGGGCGGAGTTTTGGGCAGCACCACCCGCAATCAGCTTGGCGTCATAGTTGTTGAGAAGCTCCTCATACAGAGGGAGGTGCTTCTCCTCAGCCAGAATGGCGTCGTTGGCCTTCAGCTCATACTTATCCAACAGAGCCTGGTCAGCTTGAGCCTGAATATCTATGGAGAAACGGTAAGCAACATTTTGCAAGGCGGGGCGGGGCATTCAGGCGGTAAGGTCAATTGACCCCAAATCATGCCTGGGGAGCAAGATTAAATGAACATACCAAGGAGAGGGTTCTCCAGGGCGAGAAGAGCGAATTCCTTGCGGGCAGCCATTGTGTCTGTGTGAATCAATTGGATTTTTAATTATGTAGGAAAGACGGAAGTGAGAGAGTGATATAATTTGTTTGGGACAAGGTGGGGTGGAGGGGGAGGGGCAAAGTTGCATTGGGATGGTTGTTGAGGGAGCGAGGTACAAGGTACTTATACTTATATCCTGGCAAGCCATTTAGATATGTGCACAGCTCTGGCTGACGGCGTTAATTGGAGAAAGAATGAATAATATACACGGATTTACTCAGTTTGAGAGTAATAGACAAGGCTGTCAAAGGAGCCTCCGTTGCGATTCAAGAATTTTCAGCCGGATCGCTAAGTACTGGATACATACTTGCCAGAAAATACACCTGGGGTCATCCTTGATCGTATTGATGTGATCCTCTGTAGCCAAGGTGAGGACTCTTGTCCGGCTAAGATACCTATCTAATATGTGATTATTTTTCAGTTATGGTGTGTAGATAATAAGGGGAGTAGAAATGGATAGCTTGTCAAGTCCAAGAATCCGAGGCTCTTGGTGCTGCCTTTCAAGTGTGGAAGGATGCAATTCAAGGTGTTTTTAAAGATATTCCACAACCGCATGGCTCTCATGATTTGGGTAGCGCAATGAGCTTGAGAGCTCTGTGACATTGATGTGACGATTCATTATAACATATAGACCTTGATGATTTAGAGCTTCGCTCCCAGGCTCATCACACAGCACAGATATAGGGACCAAGTTGAGAAATTGTTTGGAGACGAATTTTGTGCGCCAAATGTCAAAGTGATTGCCCTCGGAGCTACTAGACTTCTGCTCTCAGTAGTACCCTCCAATATTCCAAGCAAGCCAGTGTAACACCATCCCAATGAGACCATGAACCAAGCCGCCTTACTCCTTGGTCTTTTGAGTACCGCGAAGCAGACCTGTCCGCCTGGCGGCAATAAGACCAGCCTTTTGACCCTGGGCAGCGTACCGCGAGATGGTAGAAGCCTTACCAATGTGTTGATGGTTACCCTAGATAAGTGATTAGTCTCCCCGTTCGTTTCCAAATGTGTGTCTTGGTCGTAACTTACACCACCGTGAGGATGGTCCACAGGGTTCATAGCAACACCACGAGTCTTGGGCCAGCTGTTGCGCTTGACAGCGAACTTATGCTTAGCGCGAGAAGCCTCTGTTTACAGTGTTAGCAATTTACTCATAGACCCAATTGATCAGAGAGCAAGGAAAACGTACTTAGGAGAGGCTTGTCGGTACGACCACCGCCAGCGACGATGCCGATCATACCACGGGAGCCGGAAAGGACAACCTTCTTGGCACCGGAGGGAAGCTTGATGCGAGTCTTGCCCTCATCAGGGTTGTGGCCGATAATGGTGATGTAGTTGCCGGAGGTGCGGCCGAGGCTACCACGGTCGCCGACCTTCTCCTCGACGTTGGAAACGACGGTACCCTCGGGCATCTCGCCGAGAGGGAGAACGTTACCGACGGTCAGAGCAGCCTTCTTACCGACGTAGATGAACTGGCCGGTGTACATGCCCTCGTTGGCAATGAAGGTCTCGGTAACCTGCTTGAACTTGTAGGGGTGGCGGAAGACGACCTTGGCGAGAGGAGCACCACGACCTGTTCCAGAACCTCTGTTAGCAATTCGCTCTGCCACCATTGCCCCAATCCCAAGCCCCCATTGGACATTGCTGAATGGTTTCGATTCTCGAAGGGTTCACTTGCCGGCATCGTGGACGATCTCACGGACAACACCTCTCAGGTATCCATGGCGCTCGGCGTAGTCGAGGTTGCGGAACTTGGCAGGGGCCTTGTTCAAGCGCGTGTTGGCAGCTGCAATCCCTCCGTTAGTATTCAAGCTCGTTCGATGTAAAATTTAAGATTCGTCGTTTTCGACGTCGCGGGTCGGTACTGACTGAAGATGGATCCACGACCCTTGCGCTGGTTGCGAATGACTCTACCCATGGCGGCTGCTGTTTGTCAATGCTGTATTGATTGAAGGTTAGTATTGATGGCAACCTGGGGTTGGGTTGTGGAAGTTAATACCTGGCTACGGCCGCTTGGTGTTTTGTCTAGGTCACCTGTCGTGGAGTTGCTATGATATTTTTTTTGTGTGTGGTACCTTGAAATTTAGCGGAGGAGCCCTGACCACGTGACGTCCACTTTAAACCTCAGTGTGGGTCCAAATGCTTGATCCCACCCTGAGTCGGTCCCAACCACGACAGACGATTTTCTGAGCAGTAGGAGCACGAAGGCTCCGAGGCTCTTCCCGAATCACTGTGTACTAGTTGCTGGCAGGTACAAACTATTTTGCCTATTATGTTTTTATCACCCTTATCTGTTTTTCAACCCCGGTAAAGCGCATGTTTGATACAGGACTGGAAGCACTCAGACAACTTGTGCATGTATTTTACCTACCAACGTGTAGGTTGTCATGTCAGCGCGGCACCAAAGCTGGATCCATGTCGCGTCTTGATTCCACGACAATGATGGGATTGATGCCCTCATTCATGTGGCACCAGATTATGTGAACTGGCCTGGCTGCAGACCCACCGACCAGCTCTCAACTGTCCTGGACTGGCCGCCAAAGAAGACGTGGCAGCTATCGCGCTCTTTCTTTGCCAGTTGCTTTGCTGCTTCTAGCCAGACGGATCAGCTCGAGTTCGGGATTGGGGATGTTATGGGATGTTATGTCGGCTTTTTGAGACCTGGATGGGTTGGTCGCACTCCCGCGGTGGTGATCCAGCCAATAGCAGCCATTCAAGTTCCATTACTTTCTGGCTACATCATCCCTGGCACTTCAGACCTTGCGTCCAGCCGCCAAGTGCAACCATTGACCGCTGGATACACCTTGCTGTTTCCCGCTGTGTCAATGCCTCGACATGGCTTTGTGCTTTGAGGCACCTGTCCCTGCATACTCGTTTATTGGCATTCCATACAAGAACGTTATTGGGACCACTTCTCGTCTGTGCTGAGGCCTCACGGTGGTAGGACTACGCATGCCGCAAATGCTGCATGGACTGTCGTGTGGACGTGCGTGGAGCGTCATCCATTCCAGCCCCCTTCAGAAGGCAGTTGGCAAATTTGTGGTCAACAGCTACTGGGCTGACTCTTCTTAGTTTGTCAGAGAACCATGGTAACGCTGGTCGTAGATTGAACGTGGAAGGAAGCGCACCTTCATGCCAGCAAATACCCGCGGACAGGCTCAGGTCGGGACCGGTAAGTTAGAAAAAAACAAACCTGCGGAATCCTTCCATCTACCGTGCTTGCCTACTGCTCTCCAACCCTGGCCAGTGTCCAAAAAGGCGTGTTCATTAGTGCATGTTAAATCTCGTCGCCGATCTATGTAATAAGACTTTCCCCTTCTTTCTCCACACCTTCTCTCCTACCTTATCCATCCCGCCACATCTACCGAGTACCTGCTACGAGCCTGGGCACTTCCTGCTGCAACAAACCGCATCTCCCAAAAGCCGTTCATCATGGCTGCGGCGGACGACTCTTCCGATCTGTCATCACTGTCTTCTCTGTCTCCCGCGCCCTCGGACGACGAGATTGAGAAGTCTATTGCCACAGGTCCCAAGTCGAAGAAGGGCATTCTCAATTATTTCCCCAAGGTATCGGAGCTCCCACCTAGAGAGCCCTCGCCGCCTCCGCGCAAACGGTCGCCGTCGCCACCACACGAATATGTGTTGGCAGACAATGCCGACATTGCGGTATGTTTACCGATCACAATAATTGTTTTCGACTATCTGTTTTCCTGGCATTCTCTCGTTTGCTTGTTTCACAGCACTAGGTGGTTTTTTTTTGGGTGTTGGGGGGGCCAACCAGGGTGCTGTGCGCGCTGCGGCGCTCGTGTCACGCGTTCGCGTCCTAACGTCATAGCCTACAACATGTTTGCACGTCCTGGATCGCTAACCAGCAGCGCAGTTCATTGTTATGTTTAGAAGCCGATTCAACGATGCGTTCCCGAAATCTCTCGCACACTTTGGGCCTCAAGACATTGAACGCGATGTCGTTCAAACCGTTCCGGGCGACCGAGCAGAGCATTTCCTATGCGCCGTCCTCAGCCTGCTTCTGAATCGAAAGCAGGACGTCAAGTGAGCGCAGACAGCCTCGATGTATAAAGTCGCATATGTTAATAAGATCGTCTAAACAGACCGGGTCACTATGGGAGGGCGCTTGAAGACGCAATTGCTTCCCACAAGAACCAATGGGCCTCCTCTTGGGATGGCAAAAGCCCGCTCTCTGGAGGGAAGACTTTCAACACAATGGACCCAACAGAAAGAGTTTGTGCCGGTATAATTATCTTCTTCTCGTTAGGTGTACTGACCATCTTCTCAGCTCACTCTACTTAAAACCCTTGTACTATGGTCGCTTTCATCTTCGGACACTGTTAAAGGTTTAATCAACCAATCCTACAAACAAAATCGTCACGAGGACGACATGAACCAACCTCGGTCGGTGCAACCCTGGGGCACAGATGGCGACAGACGCCGGTATTTCTTGATTGAAGGCCAAGATGACACAGCCTTCCGAGTCTATCGCGAGAGCAATTTTTCAGGTGCCCAACGGACTTGGTGGAGCGTCGCCGGTTCAATCGAAGAGTTACAATCGCTCGCTGAGAAGTTGGAGACAAAGGACGGTGGGCCTAAGGCACGAAAGTTTGCCCAGAAGATCAGAGCAGCGCTCCCACGGTTCGAAGCCGGAGAAGATGTAAGAGTTTACTCTCTCTGCTATGCTGGCTTGCACTTGTACGCTTGTAATGCTAACTGATTGGACAGAAACGCAAACGTCGCGAATACAGACAGTTACAAAAAGAGCGATTCAAGCGCCCGGAAGTTGGATTTTCGTCGTACGAGGGCCGGACACGGGGGAAGCGCATCAAATACACGTACTCCGATGATGAGGATATTTTCCTCTCTGATTCAACAGCGAACAGACGTTCTGCTCGCAATACAGGCACCAATACACCAGCCGAGACGGGTCCAGTGACAACCGCAAGCGGGCGCCAGATTAGAGCACCAACTCGGCTCAATAATGCTGCCGGAGAGGGAAGCGCTCCAAGTAGTGTGAAGGGCGACACCCCGGAATTCGACAAGGAAAACTCGCTGGGACATGGCGGCCGGCCGAAGAGGTCGGCTGCGGTTCATCACGGCCATAACGGCTGGGCGGCTTCTGGATCTCGCCGCGTGCGTGGTGAGACAGACGAGGATGAGAGTGAAGCATTTGGTGACGATGAGGATGATGTCGACGCCCATGTACCTGAAGAGTCAGATGATGACGACGACTTTGATGAAGACGAAGCTATGGTTGACGACGATTTGGACGACCAACCACAGAGTCTTCTCATTAAGCTCTCTGTTACGCCACCCAAGCTGCGAACAGCTCTCGATCCATTGGACGAAAATCAAAAGACGAACGGCCAAGTTGTGCCTCGTCTTGATCTAAACCCTAACACGCCTAAATCTGTCCAGATAGAGATGAAGGATGCGCTGGATCAAGCACCGCTGCAAGACGAGGTTGATGTGAAGGCGGCAGCTCCTAGCGAGACGATCACAATAACTCAGAAGTCGGCACCAACACAGCCAATTCTAGAGTCGACGGCGACAAAGCAGCTAGAACAAGCTCCGCCCACTACATCTCTAGCATTCAGAGGGAGCCCTTGATTTTCTTTTGGTTTAGGTGGGAAGGCGTTAAAACATAGTAATGACAACCACACGGTGAAAATCTTCTCGGCAGGTGGGGGTATTATTTGTCCGGAGTTTGGGATTTTTAACATAATGGCATAAGGATCTGGACTGGGAAGAATAGAAGGTGTCTGTACTCGGTGTCGATCAACTCGTGACGCCGTTAATCGGCTTTTAGGCCTGAACACGAGCTTCTGCATTGAGTGAATGACATGAAGGGAGACGGGGTTAAGCCTCGATGTGGCCCATAGATATTCGTCTCATTGGGCATCCAAGTCCAATCCAGTGCCTGAAATGAAGAAGGTAGTGGCCATTACATATTAATTTGTCCGTTATGTCCATGCAAGAGGGAGCTAATGTACAATGCATGGGACACCGAAGACTATCTCACCTGGCCGCTGGTCTCTTAGGTATAACCCAATTATTCACTCCCCACCACCATCTTCTTATACGGGCACCAACACCATTGCCGTGATACCTCGCATTTCGGTTCCACTGTTGCCAGCCGCAGAGAAAGAGATTGTAAAGCAAGCCTTGTGCCAGGGGCATCAGTACCTGGACGTGTCGCGCTCCTGTTAGTCAGTGCTTCCTGTATTGCCCCTAATTCAGGAAGCAATGACTTACCTGATCCCTTGCAGTGATTGCTACTACTTTCCACCACTTGTCCGCGGCGGAAATGCTGCGCAGATAGCTCTGCTCGAAGCGAAGATCGGGCAGAGGTGGCAACTCGTGGGATCTCGGAATCGGCCGCAGCACACTGTATGGGATATCCTCCACTTCTTCCTCCTCCTCGTCGTCGTCTAAGCCACCGTATCCATGCTTGGCGCTCTTCAGGACTACAGGTTCTCTGTCGTCGGCGGCAGTTGCTGGGGCGTGATCGAGACGAGGGTCTGGGTGTCTGTTGATGGATGCGGTCTGGATGGTCTCCGCAAGCCCTGTGGCGATTGAATCCATCCCTGAGGAGCTGCAGCTATTGATCAACAATAGCTTGGAATCAGGGAAGGGAACGCGGGGTCAATGAGTTCGATGTGTTCGAACTGTCCCTTGTGTTGCGAGCGTGGGTTGAGGTGCGTTGGAATCTAGCGTTTTGCCGGGCGGTGAGAGACAAGGATGACCTCAACTGATGTCCATTGACAAGGATGTTCTGGAGGTGGCTGCTTACGTACAGTTTTATTATTTTTATAGCACGAAGAAAAAGGGATCTTCAACACAGTGCAGGTAATGATTGAAAGAAGAAATTACTATTCTACTGATTCAAAGCAAATACTCCTGGTACTTTCCTCGGCCTTTGTTTCATTATTAAGCCCAATATTATGGGAAATAAACTATCAAGGACGGCCTGGTAGGTGGTGCATGTCATGCCTCCAGTAAGAAGAGTCAAAACCCGTGCCGTGGCGCTGGGCTCTGGAGTGCCTTGCAGGCAGGGGCTCGCTACTTGAGTCACCTCCATAAAGCAGCAGGTGCCAGTAGGCGGGTTTCAGTTAGGTGCCTGCTGGACAGCCCGCTATGACGGCAGTGTGCCCCACAGAGCGTGTTGGACAGGTGCCTCTGCGCAGTGGCAGCCCGCCAATTAGCCAAGCAGCGCGCTCATGCCTTACCACCTGCGCAGAACAATGGGAGCTGTACTGGAAATTTATAAAATCCATCTAGGCACCCAGTAGCCCCGTCTGGCATTGAATAACACCGCACCACATTTCTCACTTTTCTCCTCCCCCTTCCGCGCCCAAATCACCTCCGTCTGGGGTCAACCTTATATTTTGCTTGCGAGGATACTCAAACCGCTGTCAAAATGAGTGACGCTCAGGCGAACGAGGCCGAGAAGAACGTGAGTCGATTATCCCTCTGTCTGTTTCTTTTGCCCTGTCCGCTATACGCCTGGAAGCAGCGTGTGTGGTGTGGGAGAAAAAAATTGTAGCCCCTCCGCGTGTGCCCCGCGCTACGGCTGCCCGCCCTCTGATTCCCATGCCCCTCATATGTGCCCTCTGTTTTTGACATATTGAGTTGTTGTTCAAGCAAGCTAATGAAGGGCGTGGAAATCATGTAGATCGAGATATGGAAGGTCAAGAAGCTCATCAAGCGCCTTGAGGCCGCCAGGGGAAATGGAACCTCCATGATTTCGCTTATTATCCGTAAGTCGCATTGGCAGGATCAGCCACGTGTAGTGCCGAAAAATTAACTTGATGGCTCAGCTCCCAAGTCCCAGGTCTCCCAAATTGCCAAGATGTTGGCTGAAGAATATGTATGTTGAATCCCATGGGCACGGCGTCATTTCTCTTCGGAGGCTTTGTCTAATGCGAGCGCCTCAGGGTACCGCCTCCAATATCAAGTCTCGTGTCAATCGACAGTCCGTCTTGTCCGCCATTACCTCCACCCAGCAGCGTCTCAAGCTCTACAACAAGGTCCCTCCCAATGGACTCGTTGTCTACTGTGGTGAAATCTTGACCTCCGAAGGCAAGGAGCGAAAGGTCAATATTGATTTTGAGCCATTTAAGCCCATCAACACGTCTCTGTACCTTTGCGACAACAAGTTCCATACCGAGGCCCTGGCTGAGCTGCTCGAGTCCGACCAAAAGTTTGGTTTCATTATTATGGATGGTAATGGAGCTCTGTTTGGTACTCTGAGCGGAAACACTCGTGAGATTGTTCACAAGTTCTCCGTCGACTTGCCCAAGAAGCACGGACGTGGTGGTCAGTCTGCTCTGCGTTTCGCCCGTCTCCGTGAGGAAAAGCGACACAACTACGTCCGCAAGGTTGCCGAGTTGGCGGTCCAGAACTTCATCACCAACGACAAGGTCAACGTCGCCGGTATTATTCTTGCTGGTTCCGCCGATTTCAAGAACGACCTGAACGCCTCCGACATGTTCGACAACCGTCTCGCGACCAAGGTCATCAAGGTTGTCGATGTGTCGTACGGTGGTGAGAACGGTTTCAACCAGGCCATCGAACTCTCGTCTGAAACCCTCGGCAACGTCAAGTTTATTCAGGAGAAGAAGCTCATTGGAAAGTACTTTGAGGAAATCAGCCAGGACACCGGCAAGGTCTGCTACGGTATTGATGATACACTCAAGGCATTGGAGCTTGGTGCAGTTGAGACCCTTATTGTCTACGAAAATCTGGAAATTTCACGCTGGACTCTCCGCGACAGCGAGAACAACGAAATTCTGCTTCACACCACCAAGCAGCAGGAGCAAGACAGCCGCGAGAAGTTCCAGGACAAGAATACCGGCCAGGAGATGGAAGTCGTCACTCAGGAGTCATTCTTGGAATGGATTGCTGAGCACTACAAGGACTTTGGTACCGCGCTGGAATTCGTCTCGGACCGATCTACCGAAGGAAACCAGTTCGTCAAGGGTTTCGGCGGTATCGGTGGTATTCTCCGATACAAGGTCAACTTTGAACAATTGGCTGATCTGAGCGACGATGATGACTACTACGACGGTGAGTTGCATCCGATGTGACACGTCGTTTCAGTGACTGACAGCAGGAATAGATTGACCAGTGGAATCCCTCGAAACCGAGGGACCAACTCAAGGTCAACCGTCTGAACAAGTACAGCATGAAGGGCAATATGCGAGGTCCATGTCGCATGATGCCGCGCCGATGTCAGTCGCCCATAAGCGGCTGATGGGCAGAGGTGGCCCAGCAATGCTAGCCCACCGAGCTTCGCGGCCGAGCCCACTCCGCGCAACAATGACGGCGACTTGAGTTGAATAACGGTGGATAGTGAAGGTAAGCGCGCTTGTTCGCTTCCAAATTGCCCTGGACCGCTTGCTTACAAGGACTCGTAGGCGCCGCCGAGAAAGTTACCCCAGAATGGCACGGATCATGAGCATTGCAGAGCAGGTTTGCCAATATCACCACTTGCCGGCTCTGCAACCGCCATGTTTAAAAAGGTCAACCCCAAGATGAAGTAGTTTCAGGGTGGGCATTCCTTGTAGCGTTGCGAATGCGTGACCCCCTGCGTATCAATAGAGCAAATAGCTAGCTACCAATAAAGAGGTCGTCCGCACAATCGTCCATATCTCTCCTTGCTGCTACTTACCCCCTCACATTTGGAGGCAAATCAACCCTCAATGCAAGTAGAGCTTCCTGCGGCAATAAAACAGTCAGGTAAACATATAAATAAAGTGCAAGCGCAGTGCTGCTATTATTACCTTGCTACACCGCACTAGGACGACAAGTTCCTCCCTCTGAATTATGCGCCCACCAAATGGAGCCCGATGCAAGCACAACCCCATACAGACCCCTACAGCACGGTTAGAGCAAGCATGCTGCAGCGGCACTACCTAAGTCGCTCCAATCCAATGGGTCCAACACATTCAGAGCAAACAACCCATACCACCTTCTCAACAATCTGGCTTATCTTACTTTAGGAGGCAGGGTGAGAACCGTACATATACCCACCATCCAAAACCTACGATCTTTTTGATTATCGACGTCCTCCTATCTTCTGCATCCATCGATTTCTGTTTAGTGACGCCCCTAGAGCCGTATATTGCTTAATTACAGGAGGATACCCAGAATAGACACACCCACACCTTCACGCCTATGCGACTCTGACGACAGCACTCACCGACCAGCGTCGCCGAGCTGGCCACGACACGGATGACCGCCCAAATACTCTGATACCTGTCTGCATTCACATTGGGATCAGCCGCCAACCAACATGGCTGAAGCTTCCACCAGTGCCGCGGCACCGACCGTCAAGTCGACCCATCATACCGTCGCCGTTGGCCTGCACGAAGCTGTCCTCGACTCCCCAACCTTTCGCGCCACGGCCGCCCACTTCGCCGAACAGATCGACGCAGTAGAGAAATGGCTCAACGGATATGTGTCATCGACATCCAAGCTGTTGCACGATATTCTCGCCCTCGAAGAGACGATCAACACATACCTCGCCAAGACGACCCCGTCGACTGATGGCGTCATCGATAATGACTACACCTTCCTTGCCTTGAAACGAGTCGGCGATGGCTCCCGCGAGTGCTGGATGCAGCTTCTGAGTAGCATGAAGAGAATGGAGAGCTCCGTCGTCGAGCCCGTCCGGGGGTTTCTAATGGGGGACATGCGCAACTTCAAGGAGATACGGAAGGTCCTGGAGCAGGCGCAGAGGGCGTTCGATTCCACCTTGGCTCGATACGTCTCCCAATCCAAGACGAAGGAGCCCTCTGCCCTACGAGAGGACGCATTCTCCGTATACGAAACAAGGAAGGCCTATCTCCAGGCATCGATGGACTACTGCCAGCTCGCTCCCCAGGTGCGATTTACTATGGACAAGCTGCTAGTCAAGGTGTCAAATGAAGCCTGGAAGGAGATGAAGAAGGGCCGTGACGCTGCGACCAGTGCGACTCGGTTCGAGCAGGAGATGGAGCGAGTACGGGGCTGGGCAAAGGAGATGGAAACGTCCGAGGGCATCTTCAGACGCGAGCTTCAGATCGCGCGGCGGGACTTGGGTGAGAACGCAATGACGGGCTGCAAGCCGTCGCGTGAGTTGGAGGACTACAGCACTTCAACCGTCCCCTTCCTCGGCTCTCGCGGCCCTGTCAGTCTCCAGCCCAAGGATAGCCAGGCAGTTATCTCTGAGAAGCAGGGCTGGCTGTTCCTGAGGACTCTGTCTGGAAAACCCGCGAGACACAACTGGGTCAGACGGTGGTACTATTGCCGAGACAAGGTTTTTGGATGGCTTATCCCAGGACCTCTGGGTGTCGTTCAGGGCGACGAGATTGGTGTTTTGCTGTGTAATGCACGGCCAGCTGTTAGCGAGGACCGGCGTTTCTGCTTCGAGGTCAAGACGAAGAGCCAGAGCTTATTGCTGCAGGCTGAGACGCAAAATGAGCTGACTGAATGGCTCGAGGTCTTCGAATTTATGAAGAAGAAGGCCTTCGAGTCCAGCATGGATCGAGATCTCAACGCTTCAGGCAACCTCGATCCGGCCTTCTCAGTTACTCCCCCAGGCATTCCTGAGTTTTCTGCCAGGACTTTGGACGCGCATCTCAAGCTGGGAGAAGAGCCAATTCCTCCGCCTGAGAGAGCTGGTACCCTACCTGTCCCCAGCCCAGATCTAACGTTAAGCAACAGGCCGAGCTTCGATGTTAACGGCACCTTGACTCGCCGATCAATCACTGCCTTGAAACAAGATTTGGCACGAGAAGAAGGCGAGAGCGGACGAGAGCACGCAGCAAGGATCATCCAGAGGCTTGATCTTCACCGCAAAGCTACGTTCGGTGCCGGCGCTGAAGCAGCCCTTGCAAGCTCTAGCGGCTCTGCTGGAGGGCTGGCAAGCTTGATGTCGGCCAGCCATGCCATGTTGCCCTCACATGCTGGTTCCAACTCGCCAAAGCAATCAGCCGTGAGATTGACGTCTGTAGACACTCAAGGAGGAACACTCGCCCCCCTGACCCTGGCAAAACCTCCTGCGGTAACGAACCTGAGCCGGACTGCCGTTCTGACAGCAGCAACGCGAGCTGCTAGCAGCAGCCAAAAGAAAGTCCTGCCTTCAGTCCTAGCCAACTACTGGGGCACAAATGTCTACAACGAGATACAGGTTTCAGAGGAGCCCGTCCTACCCAGGATGGACGATGATGATCCTGTCGGTGTTGTTGTTTCTGCCGCACAATCTGATTCCCTCGATAAGGCCGTTCAGGACAAGCAGGCAAAGGATCCACTGCCACTTCATTATCCTCCAGAACTACGGTTTCAGAACGCACAATTTAGATTGCTGTTCCCCAATGTTCCGACGGGCGAGAATCTTGTGCTGGTTTTCCGCGCAGCTTGGTCCAGTTCATCGGCTACAGAGTCAAAATCCCCAGGATTGGCAGGAGATGGTCGCATCTACGTTACACCGGATAACATGTACTTCTATGGCCAGCAGATGGGTCTTGTTTCGGCCTATCGCCTAAGTTTGGACACGATCTCAGAAGTCACAGCCGCCCCAGGCAGAGAATGTGATTACATCTATCTGCATTTCGGCCAGAACGAGAGCAATGATACCGGCTTCACGCGGCTTACGATCAAGATCTTCCTCGACGAGCTTCGCGTCTTGCATGCACGACTGAACTTACTTGTCGATGATCTTCAGGCAGAAGAGCCAATGGAGACAGAGGCACTCATTTCTGCGTTGATACAAATCGAGAAGGAGGAGTTTGAGAGGCCAAGCCCCGGTGCCGAGAGTTGGGAAGAAGTACCTGGCGACACACCCATAGACAATGGCACTCTTGGGGGACGGCCAGTGCGCGAGCGATCATTCCGAGAAGCAACCCCCAGGGTACTGTCAGGATCGAGGTTCGCTTCGTCGAAGCTGCAAATGCCGCTGCATCCAGTAGTGTACGAGCCCGATGACATGAAGGAACTAGCAGCAGAGAGACACTTTGAAATCAGTGCAAAGTCTTGCTTCCATGTTCTCTTTGGAGACAAGAGCTTCGTTTTCCCGAAGCTCTATTTTGAACACCGTGCCCAGCAGATCGCGCAAGGGCCTTGGGTTCAGATAGATCAAGGCCGGATGCGCCGCGAGTTCCAATTCAAGGTCAAATCGGCCGACATGTTGGGGCGATCTCAGACAGCCGAGATAACGGACTATCAGGTGATTGATCTGCATAGCGACCATGTCACGTATGTTGTCACACATACCAGAACTGCTTGGCATTTGCCTTATTCGCAGCACTTCAAGCTCGTCACCAAGATCGTTATTACACACCTGGCCAAAACAAGGTGCAAGCTTGCCATTTATGTTAGAATCGATTGGTCCAAGTCTCCAGCTTTGTCGAGGAACCTTGTCGAACGTCAAGCAATGAGGGACATTCGAAACGACGCTGACGAGCTCGCTGAGCTAGCTACAGACCAAGTCCGCAAGCTAGGCGCGAGAACGCGGACAACAAGGGCAATTCAGGTGTACGGGCAAGTTGGGCAGCAAACTCAGGTCGTCGTCTTTTCTCCCGCCGCTAGAGACAGCAGCCGGAAACAGGCCACCAAGCCACGCACCCTCACGGCCCTGGTGTGGGAAACCGCGAGATCCTTCGGGGAGAGTGCTGTCTCGTCGCTCATCATGTGGTCAATCGCCGTCTTGAAGAAGGTGTTCAGCATTTTCACAGCAAACCGGCTGATTCTTGCTGTCCTGGGACTGAGCATTTTGACCAACTTATTGATCACCTCGACCGAGACTGCTGCTTGGTGGAAGGAAAGACGAGCAGCAGGCTTCATGAGACACTTGGGTGTTGGACCAAATATCCTCATGAGTAAGGCCATTTACATGGCCGATCTCGCTGAGGCAACTGGAGCGAATGGCAATGAGGAGCTGTTCCCACACAACAGTACTTGCTTCACTGGGTTCCAGGATGTCTTGAGCGCAACTGACATGGATTCGCCCTGGGAAGATGCCGGCGTGTCGTTCACTGCACCGACGACCCGATCAACAGCGCTGCGACTTCGAAGAACACGCCAACGGCTGGGCTCCTACAGACACGACCTCATTGTGGCTATGAGGGTGGTCAACAGTATTGAGCGAGAGATTCTTCAATCGGAATGGGAGAACTGGCTGATGAATGAGAGCGCCCAGTGCGATGACCTCAGAGCAATCCTCGACGGAGACGATGAGAATACCAAGAAGAAGAATAGCGGTAGAAAAGCAAAGTCTTCACAAAGTGTTGTCGAATCGATGTCGCCGGAGAAGAAGAAAGTTCTGAGAGAGTGGAAGGACAAGTATTGTGGAAGCTGCCAGCGAGATCTTCAGACCGTGGTGGCGAAGAGGAGAGGCTCGGATTTGTATAATGGTGGGTATGAGTCGAAGTAGCCGAGCCAGGCAGGTGGTTTGGGGCAGGGTGCAGCTGTTGTCTTGCATTCTCAGCATGAATGCTCTTTCATTCCGTTCTTTTCCTTCTCACTCTACTTACACTACATACTGTTCATGTTTAAACTGTGTATACCCCAGGTAAATACAAATTCACAAACTCGATGAAGAATTAAAAAAGCACACTCGAGCTTTCATAGTTCATTTCTCAACATACTAAACTGAATCCTTCTCATGACTGTTTCCAAGCTTCAAGCAAATGCCGATGAGCGGGAGCGTTATAGGGTAGGAGAGCTTGGGTGACGTGGCGTCGAGCAAGGGTGCTGTGGCGAGTGTGGCGGTGCTCTAGTGGGCGGTGACATTATCCGTAGGCAAAAAGCGACACTGACGTCAGCAGTGACTGAGGATGAACCCCTCCATCCCTCTATGTAACACTGAAAGGCAGGTATTGTAGACAGTCTCGTAGAAATACCTAGGTAAGCCTTTGTTTTTACTTTAGACCATTGCATTGAACGTTAGATGAAGAGGCTGTTTGCAACAGCTCCAGATAATTGTCTTTGTTCGACCGATTTTGGTTGCCTCTTCGTCCACCAATTACTCTCTTATCCCTGCTCGCCTCCCAGTCTCCCGCATTTCCCGGCGGCGCCTTTAAGTACTTGACCACCGTTCTCAACCTCGCTTCCAAAAGATATCCTTGTTTCCAATTCCTGGATTGTACAGAACTGTACATAAAACCTCACGATGGGCAACCATCATGAACCATTGAGCTACCTGGGCCCCGTTGATTGGTCGGATGTCTCACTAGATGGCCTGAAACCATTCTTAGACGACGTATTTTCTGCCGCTCAGACAGTCGTCGAGTCCATACCGTCGCCCTCGAATCTCAACGAGATCTCTAGGGTGTCTGAGACTCCCGCACTGCCCCGCTCCCAGTCCGAGTCCAGTGAGACCAGCGCTACTGTGGCGACTTCCTCCAACGCTCGCCGCCAGAGTCCCGCGGCAGTCGAGCAGTCTCGGAAGCTGCGGGAGGAATGGAAGGAAGTCAAGGTCAACTCGCGGGAGAACCCGCTTGACATCAAGGTGTACAAGCTGGCGGCCAAGGACGGCAAGGGGACGTGGTTTGCGAGGCGCAGCGTCCACGACGGCCTGTCGTACGATCAATGGGAGAAGGGGCTGGCCGAAGAGCTCATTGAGACGCTGAAGATCCAGGGACAGCCGGGAGGAGGGAGCATCCGAGGAATCGGGGCCGATCGGCTGGTAGAGCAGGTTGACGCTCCTGGAACTGGTCAGGCAAAGGGTTCGTATTGCCCTCCCTCACTCACCCGCAAGCCATATCGGGGGATTTCTTATAATGGCTAACCGAGTGAGAATAGTGTTTCACCTTTCTGCACAATTCCCAGGCCCGACGTCCCCAAGAGACTTTGTGACGTTGTTGTTGACCTCGGACACACCCAAATTCGTTCCTCAGGACCCTCGAGTCGTCAGGCAGTTCATGATTGTCTCCAAGCCTTGTATTCACCCCGAATGTGAACCTCAGCAGGGTACGATTCGTGGACAGTATGAGTCCATCGAGCTTATTCGGGAAGTATTACCAGAAAAGCCGGCGTCTGAGCGATCATCGTCGTCAACGGACATCTCGGGCAAAAGCAAGAGCAGTGACAATCTGAGTACTACCCCTCTGGATTCGCCCCCGAGTACCAGCAAGGCCCAGGAGCCCCCCACTACTATCGAGTGGCTTATGATAACCCGAAGTGATCCGGGTGGCTCGGTCCCTCGCTTCATGATCGAGAAAGGCACTCCTCCAGGAATTGTGAACGATGCTGGTAAATTTATTAAATGGGTTACTTCCAGATCAGCCTCTCAAGATGTCCGAGAGTCGACCGAAGGCGGGGAGGTGAGACCGGCAGAGGGTAGTGTCCAGGACAAGCCACGCACAGAATCGAGAGACCCGCCACCATACGTCGAGGAGCTTCCCTCTGGCAGCAACGAGACATCTGTGCCGAGATACAACGAAGAAGATGTGACTTCCTCAAATGGCGGCCTCTGGGGGATGGTCACCGGTGCGTTTTGGGGTGCTAGTTCTGTCGTTTCTGCTGGCTTGCGTATGCCTTTTGGTACATCTAGCCTTGGGCAAGATGAGGACGAGGAGAATCAACCGGGCACCCCGTCATTAGATGTAGGAGATGAAGAAGACTCGGGTAGTGATTCTTCTTCGATCCGAACCTTTACCTCTGCCCTAGATAGGTCCTTGACGCAGGAGGAAGATGCCTCGGCCGACGTTCAGCAATCCAACTCTGACGATAAATCCAGCGGAAAGTCTTCGCAACTCAAGGAGCTTAAGAAGCTCGAGGAACGCCGCCGCAAATTGGATGAGAAGGCCGCAAGGATGGCCGAGCGCTGGGAGAGCAAACGACAGGAGGACAAGGAGAAGGATGCGGCGGCGCTGACCAGGGCGCAGGAGAAGCACGCCAAAGAGGTAGCGAAGCACGAGGCGAAATACAACCGAGAACTGCGCAGGATCAAGGAGAAGAAGGAGCAGGAGGAGCGCAAGGCTGAGCAGCGGAGGAAGAAGGCCGCCGAGCGCGAGGCGAAGGCGAACGCCGCCATGGAGCTTGAGAAGGTGAAGGCCGAGAGGGACTACGCGCTCAAGCAGGTAGAGCTGCTGAAGGCCCAAGTCGGGGAACTTCAGTCCCAGAATACCATGCTTACAGCGAAAATGGGAAAGTTGAATGGTTTGGATACAAGCGACTCGGCCTCGGTGTCATCAAAGAATACGCAAGGTGGCAAGTCGCCGACTCTGTAAGATTCTCGAGATAAGCGGCGATATTTGTTATTAAACATCGAATTGGCATAGCGATTGCATATTCTCTTTTGGCAGGATTCTGAGAATTCACATTATACAATAACGAGGATAAACGACGAAATCTTAGTTGATATGTTTGATATTAAACTCTTTTCTCTATTCTAAAGGCTTGACCAATAGGCTGGAAATGTGCCTCTTTTGGGAATCTGAATCTCTTAGAGCATTTTTGGCCGCTTTCAGAGCTTCGAGGAGTGCTGCACTCGCGTACCCCTTTTGTTCCAGTGATACTGAAGCGAGGATGATTCGAGAACAGAGAGAAAACATCTCAGGATCAGATGCCCATCCGAGTGGCCCATCCTCCTTGGTGAGAAAGGGAATGAGACGAGCCAAGCCTCTCTGTAACCAATCATCTAATCTCTTGGAAGTCGAATCTTCCGAATTCCAGGCCAGACTCTCATGGACGGAAACCCAACGACTGGTCTCCCGGATCTCATCAATGAACAAGTTTTGCTCTTCAATGACAAAGAGCGAGTCGTCAACCTTAAGGGCTGCATCGAATTGCTCGTCCGCAGATCTCCATGGAATTTCTGGGTTCGAAAAAGATGCACTAGAAGCTCCGGTGATTCTGGCAGCGACAACAGCCTTGAACGAAGCGGAGTTGCTAAACTCAGCAGAGAGCCATTGTGACAAGCAGTTGGCTGCCTGGATGGGAACCAGGGGCTGCCCGATAATGGACCTCACCGCGAGGGAGCCAACCTCACGAACCTCGTCATCATCGTCGTTCAAGGTGTCGTAGAGTGAAACCAAAGCTGGTAGGAAATCATCGCCCGTGCAATTGGGACCGACTGATAGGAAGAAGGCATGAAGTGACTGCGCGGCGGCGAAACGGCTATCGAAGGTCTTATCATCGAGGCCAGCATCGGCCATCATGACGCCCCAGCTCTGGAGCCTGCTGGGAGACAAACGGCCAAAGACTTTCATGAGAGCAACCGCGCTCCCGCTGACTCTAAGAATGGCGTTGGAAAGAGATGGGTTCAAGGTGTGGGAGAGCAGAGATTCCAGAAGCTGTTCCAGGGGCAGTGACCTCAACAACTCCGTGTCCTTTGTTTGCGCTAGGAAATGCTCAAGGATGTCTGCGAGGTTCTCGAGAGCAATAGCCTGAACATCAAGCGAGCTGTTTTCGAGACAAATATTGATATACAGGCCAGAAAATTGTGCGAGCACTTCAGATGACGCGGAGGAGACATTCCAGAGCTGCGGAAGGGTTTCGAGGGCTGTGAGCATGGTGTTGACGCCAAGTTTATTTCCGAGAAGTAGAGTGTTGACAACATCAAGGGATGAGTCGTTGAACTTTGCAGCTAGTATCTGATGCTTGATACGTTGAATCTTCAGAAGTGCACTATCTTCAGAAGTAGATATTGATACCTCCAAAGACTTTGAGGGAAACTCTGACTCTAGAGAAGAAAGGAGGCTCCATATGAGATTGATGACCTCGACATATGCAGCCAGGATGTCAGGGCAATGGATGTAGTGAGAATCAATTTTGGTCTCATGGAGAAGCTGCACCAGGTTTGACAGATTGGCTACATCACGCATTGTCAGTTGCTGGTCGCCATGATCTAGAATTTGAATCGAATAGAGAAAGACTTACGCGTGAGACGTTCCGGAGATACCTCAGAGAGCCTCTCAATGACGAATTTGAGCGCTACCAGCACTCCATGGATCCGGTTCTGGGAATTTTTAGTTTGGTCATTAATCGCTTGTTGGAGGAGGTCTTGCATGACCACAAGCCATTTGTCGTGCAGTAGACAAGAACAAAGTGTGCGGGCGGCCATTTCTCGGACGTGCCACACTGGACTGCCCAGATATGTGGATATATGCAGCATGAGCTCTTCACGAAGCTCGTCAGGGGGACCCGCGCGCCTTATGATGTCAAGTGCAGGAAATACTGATTCCGCACCCGCGGCGCTCGTGGCAGTGACAGACATCATCTGGTGGCCAGACTCGAGTAGGTTGACCAGAACCCTGGGCAATGTCGAATAACGGTGGTAAGGAATGCGATTGGCCTTCCCGTCCCACCCCAACTCTATCATTGCTTTGCTTTCGTTGGAACCGAAGAGACAGTCGATGAGGCTTCGAAGGAGAATAAGACCACAGTTGCGAATTGCCCAGACCTCGGACCGAAGGCCATTTGCAGCCAGCTCTAGGCACTGAGGGAGGTATTTCTCGGATTTATTCCCCATCGATGTTAGGAATGAGCTCTTGAAGATATCTTTGAGGCAGTTGAATGCGTGGACTTGGGGAAGATTGGAACCGTCAGTCTCACGAACGAATGCTTCGACTCCTGAAATCTCGATGAGTTTCTCCATCACCTGCTCAAAGGAAGGAGAAGGTGCGTCTGCAGAGAGTATGCCTGTCATGAGTGATGGAATACCTGCTGAACGGCGTGTAGTCGAGACCTGGGAAAAAATGGCACTCATGGTTCCCTGGTCCCCGTAAGTTAGTTTCGACTTCGTGATTAATAGTCAGAATAGGATAAAGAGACAAATCGCACCTGGTACCACGCGTCTAGGATATTGCTACCGGCACCCTCCTTGTCTAAGTATTGCGTCTGTTGGCAGCATGTGGAAAAAGTTGATGACACAGTCGAGAAGGCTCCCCGGTGCCTCAGGGTCGAGAGCTGAATGAATGAGAGGTCACCCATTCTCTTGAAAGAGTCTAATGAGGGGCTGATGAACTTTGCCTGTGACTTGGCCCGGACTGTGAGAGCCATTGCCCGGATGAGATTGCTATAATTTTTGTCAGTATGATTTGAACTCACTGGTTTAGATAATAAGAGCAGAATCCTGAAAATTACCTTGACTCATGAATAGCTCGGAAGCTGTAACTTAGAATATCCTTAGTATTGATACCGTCTACTTCCTCCAATTCTTGAGGCAAATGACCTTCGGGACTGTCGTCACAAAGGATATCACGAACGGCATCCCATATTTGCTCACAGCAGCTCACCAGTCTATTTTGCACCGCCTGGCCAGCATCGAGAGATGACCCGCTGAATGCTTGCGTAGAGACAATCTGCCAGATATAACGCAAGGCAGAGAAGTCGCCATGAACAGGGTCTTCGAGCACAGCTTGACCAAGGTTGGACTGAGCAAGTGCGATTTTGGCCTCTAGTTTATCGATGGTGCGTGAAATAAAACCCAGTTGCGCGGTCTCATCACCGAAGAATCGATATAGAAGCTGACAAGCCCTTGCTGCACCATCAGAATGATCAGCTCTTGCTGTTCTTCGGGAAAGTTCGTTTGCTCGATTCGACAGATCTTGTAGCTCATTAACAGGAGAGTCCCTACGGCTCGCTCCCGACAAAGAAAACTTTTTGTATCTCATATCGCTGAGGATGGACTTGGTGGCAGCCGAAGAGAGTTCTCTCACATCGTCAAAGGGGTCCATGACAAGATCAAATAGGGCTCGTGCCCATCTTTTATCGACGAGATCATAGAAAATCTCCTGGTCCGAATCTGTTCCCCAATCCTTTTTCGGGTCAGATTCTAGCCGAAGAATGGACGAAATCGCTTTGAGGGAGCCAACATGTCGTTGGTAAGAAGCTGTCGGCGTGAGCTCGGAGCAAAGGAAGTCTATATACCATCTGAGAAACTTTGCGTGATACTCTAGACAGTGGACTAGTTGTCCTTCTGGGAGATCGATCAAGTTGGAACGATATAGGATGGGTTGGGCGTCTGCTGCCGGCGAAACCCCCTCTGTAGTAGCCCTTTCTGCAGCTTTGCGCTTTAGAGCTTTTGCTCTTACTCTTGGGATGCTTCTTTTGAGGACACAGATGGCGCCTCTTATTCTCTTGAACATATCCCGAGCCCTAGCCATGACATCGACACGAAATTTGGCATCTGGATCTGCAAAATAGGTCCCTAAGTGCTGCCGTAACAGATTCAAGGCTGTGAGAGAATATGGTCTGGTGGTCGATGGAGAGGTTATGAGAAGGGAAAACGCCAAAGATCGAACTTCATGAGAAGGATGAGCCAGTACACTGTTGAGGATATCCTGATTCAAGAGGATGGAAGATTTTCCGTCATTTTCCTGACTGTCGGTATTCAGTGCTGTGATGGTAGGTTAGCACTTAAACCTCAGGGATAGTGAGACCTGGATCATGAGAAAAGGGAATTCTTACACGGCTCCTCAACCAACCCTACTCTTTTCCCGGTTTCCAAGGCGGCCAGCTGCAAAAGAGCGGGAAGATTTACGTCTATATCCCTATTGGACGCAACGATATCGCTGGTCGCTATCATCCGTAGGAATTCTAATGCCTCAGTCCTCTCAGCGTTGAACAGTGGCAGAAAAATGTAATTCTTCACAGACTCAAGAAGCGAAGGGTCTTCTTCTATGTACTCAAGTAGCCACTGATGCCAGATTTTAGGGCTGATGATACTTTGTGGTTGGTTCTTAGCATTTCTGAGGCGCCGGTAAAGACACACAGCCAATCTCCCGGCCGTCGGGCAGACAAAGTGATTCTTCATCCAGGAAAACAGTTCCCCGAAAAAGCTGTGCCATACCTCAATCTCATCGAGAGACTCTTTTTCTGGAAGGCTTTTAACATAGGAGAGCTTAATGTCGTTGAGTGAATATATGTTTTTCGAGACAAAATAGTCCAAGGTCTTGATGGCCGACTTGGCTACTGGTTTTGATTTAAGACCGACAATGATAGATATCAAGTAATTCAGGAGAGATTTCTCAATGTTTTTAGCGGCTGAGACATCCGGGTTTTTCTTTTGCAACCGAGTGAGGAGATCTAGAACAAGTTTCATCGAGCGATGATGATCAGACTCATTCCACTCCATGTAAAAGGTGAATAGTTGTTGGGCGACATCCTCGGAAAACGCCCAGCTTTGAAGCTGATCCAACTGTGATTTAGAAAAGTGTTCAACAAAGCCGCATAGTCTCACACAAGCATTTCCCGAAACGGATTTGGGCTGGCCGGCTTCCTCAAGCAGCTTGGCGAAGGAGATATTTGCATTTCTGTGCTTGTGTTAGAATGTTCATTCGACACAGGACCAGATGTCTTCTCTTGGATAACTCTCACTCGATTTGGGATTCTTTTGGCTGGTTCTCAATCCAGGCGAGCAACTCCTGATGACTCGCCAGCTCATTGGCGAGTTTTTCCGAATGGGAACTCATGGTTTTCCTGGATGTACACCAGCTATTTCATTGCTTGTAAGCAGGAAATATCTAACATACGACACAGGGAATATAGATATATCATATGACCAATTGAACTAACAAGGAATCAAAACACCAGCACCGCTTCGCGCCACTTTCCGTGTAAGTGATCATCTACCTACTGAACGATACTTTCTCTGGCGGGAGGGTATCACGTGCATGCCCACGTGAGGAAATTTTGCCCTCGCACCCCACTAACTTGCACGTCCCACATTTTCGCTACACCCAAAAAATAATCCTCCAAGCGCACAAGAGCCTCCACTTCGATTCCCTCAACCAACTTTCCCGTCCTGACCACCAATTGAACAGGTTCTCTTGGGAGACTGACAAAATGTCTAAGATCACAGTCGGTACGTACGAACCGAGATTACAACCATCTCCGTCCGCGATCGACCGCGCGAACCCGTAAAAACGATCAAGCTGCTAACATTTTTTTTTTCCAGCTAATGTCCGGACGCAAGTCGCCGAGCTCTTGGAGTACTCCAACGAGACCAAGAAGCGCAACTTCCTTGAGACCGTTGAGCTCCAGATCGGCCTGAAGAACTATGACCCCCAGCGTGACAAGCGTTTCTCCGGCACCATCAGGCTGCCCGCCATCCCCCGCCCCAACATGGCCATCTGCATCCTCGGTGACCAGCACGATCTCGACCGTGCCAAGCACGGCGGTGTCGACGCCATGTCCGCCGACGACCTCAAGAAGCTGAACAAGAACAAGAAGCTCATCAAGAAGCTCGCCCGCAAGTACGATGCCTTCATCGCTTCCGAGGCTCTCATCAAGCAGATCCCCCGTCTCCTCGGTCCCGGTCTGTCCAAGGGTAAGCACCACACCGCCGCATGGCACAGAAAATACCGAAGTTGTTTCCAATAATGCTAAAATTCCCATCAACAGCTGGCAAGTTCCCCACCCCCGTCTCTCACGCCGACGACCTGACTGGCCGCATCAACGAGGTCAAGTCCACCATCAAGTTCCAGCTCAAGAAGGTCCTCTGCATGGGTGTCGCCGTCGGCAACGTCGAGATGGCCCAGGAGCAGCTCATTGGTAACATCATGCTTGCCATCAACTACCTCGTCTCCCTCCTCAAGAAGGGTTGGCAGAACGTTGGAAGCCTGGTCATCAAGGCTTCCATGTCTCCTCCCCACCGCCTGTACTAAGCTGGGGGTCATAAAAACTTTTTTTTAGATTTTTTTTTTGCTGAGGGCATAATGGTTGTTGTGCTTTGCCGGGCGCCTATATACCATGGTTGCTGAAGGCTGGGATAAGCCTCTAAGTTTTAGCATAGTATGGGTTAGTAAGCAATGCAATAATCGCACTCAAAACAATATCCGGTTCGTGCTGGAATGATTCCCTACGTAGTATAGAGTAATAACTACCTACTGATGCAAGTATTACGGCTCCCCGCATTGGCGGCTCTTGGAAGACGAGAATGCCCCTCTCACGAAGGACTATTCGTTGTCGAACATCAACTATGCTACTAGGACGAATGTAAATCGTACCGGAGGTAGTCAGATCACAAGTGGAAGTAGCATTCTGGAATTTTCATGCAGTAAGATTGAATTGTATGTATTGTATTATTGGGCACGTGCCCGCGTGGTATCTATATATATGTATTATCGATCGCTTCATAAGTTCAAGTCCAAACAAAGAAAAAAGAGAAGCAGCATTTTAGCAACTCTTTGTGATCCTCCATGCGACAAGCCCCCGGCGACCTATCACCCTGGTCAAGGTCTCCCACACGCCATCCTCGGCAAAGTCCAGGTCGTCCAGGTTTAGGTGGTGCCGGTACCGCCAAACTTCGCGGAATCGGAGGCCCTCTAGACCTTTGTTTTCCAGATATGGGTCGAGCCATGTCGCGGAAGCGGGCGCAAGTAGGTATGTGCCATTTTTCTCCTTTAAATACTCTTGATTGCGCCTGTCTGCCGGGGTGTCGCAAGTCGCAAGTGTCGCCAGCTCCTCGAGGAGAGACTCGCCTTTCATTCCCATGACGTCTCGGGTTGTAAGCACCTCGTTTTTCCCGTTCAGGAGCCAAATGGGGGGGGTATATGTCTTCCACCAAACAGCGTTGGTAGCGTCGGGTTGGCCGCTCATAAAAACCTGGCCTGGAATAATACCGGCTTGATGGTAGGAGCCCATTAGGATGCCAAAGAAGACATTGAATATGATCCAGGTAACACCCCAAACGCGGAGAGCAATCAAGTTGTTAGGTAGGCGGAGCGAGGATAAAACCAAGGGTACCGCAGGTAATAAAAACCTGGCTTCCTGGTGGGGGAAGATGGAGAGAACGGCGACACCCGATAGAGCCGAGCCCAGTCTCAACGAGAGCTGTGGGCGGTAGAAAAAGAGAAGTGTTGCAGGCCCAATCAGCATTGGCAGATTGGCAACCAAGTGCTGGTACCAAGGGTGTAAACCATGACCAGCAAGGTTTTCAACGGCAGAATTGTACTTGAAATTATTCCATGGTGTGATGACAGGGTTATTCAAGAGGCTGTTGTAAAGATTTCCCCAGGTCAGTGGCTCTGGGGAGTAAAAAGCCGTATCCAGCGAAATGGCGACCAAGGTGGTGAAAGAAGCAGCCAGAACCAGGGCAATAAGGGAAAATGGTCTGCTCAAGTTAGCCTCGAAATTGAAAAATGCACAGCAAATGTCCGGTGTAAAAAGGGGGCAAGACGTACCTATAGAAGAAATGCTTAAGTAGGCGAAGCCCGGGTATCAAGAGAAAAGCAGGAAAAGTAATGCGGTTGAAGACGCCAAAAACACAAACCATTCCAAGAATAACAGAGGATAGGATTGATGATCGTTGCTATTTGAGCAGAGCAGTCGTTAGTCAACTGGAACGGCAAGTCATAAAAGGGGGCACCAAAATGCAGGCTCAAACATACCCGGACATCCACTATGCGCTGGATCAAGACCAAGCTCCAAGCGAGAACCAATGTTTCGACCGAATTGGAAAATGTATGAGTCTGATAGGTCCAGGTAACGTAGGACGAGGCCACCAGCAAGACTGCGACTCGCCTATTTCTTGGCGAAGGGATCAGTTCGTGAAGGGCCCAATCTTCCAGCACGAAGCTGGTAAGAAACATGAGGACTCGCAGTGTCCAAAAAACTGCAATAGGGGGTATTTCGCCATCCTGCCCGTTACCAATCCACAGCCACCGCAGGAGAAGCATAGGCAAGCCATAAACGGGCCATAGCGGGAAAACGCTTCGAATCGGGTGGTCGCTCGTAAATTCCCATGTGCGCCGGACGGGATAACTGAAGATTTCACCTAGATTCAACAAACAAGTAGATGTTAGGTTCGGCGATCTGGAAAGATACCCCTGTCAAGGTAGTAAACTTTGGGAAAAGTGGTTGCGCGAGCTGTGCTGGAGCCGAACAAAATCGCAGAGCACAGCTGAGCATGACCACGGAACAGGCGGAAAGGTTCACCAGTGTGTATGCGTACCTGCAATGATCTCGGGGCCCTGGAAATTCTCGTCAGGATGTAGATAGCTCGGTGACAGAGCAAACCACAGCCTAACGGCGACTAGTAGGAGATATGTTCGACGCCACATGGCCTGTTGGAGCTTTTCTGCTGCAATCGCGGGCCGCAAACATGGAGCGCAAGGCTGTTCGAAGGAGTATTTCTAGGCTTGTTTATTCGAGAAGTTCGAGGATACGCGACGATCTACGAGAAGCGTCCGGCGCTGGTACGAGCTGTCGCGCGCCGTGGGAGAATAGAGCAACGTCGATAGGTTTATGTAAGTGCTGTCGATGTCGATATGTGCAAATCGAGGTATAGTACAGCGCGCGGGAACGTAGGAAGATGCGAATACGGCGTAGGTGTGGGTGGAAGTGTGTGCCTACTCCTTTTAGTAAGGCCAACGAATCTATCGAAAGTACACAGCAAGAGGATGGTAGAATGGTTGTCTAGGTTGGTCGAAGAGGAAGGGAGGCAGACGGAAAGGCAGACGGTAAGCGGTAAAGGAGTGAGAATGTATTATAGGGAAGGACGAAATAATAGCGGAAAATAAAAGACAGCAAAAGTCATCAACAAGGTCGGTCAAGGTGCGTGCTGATAAGGTCAGATCGATTTAGAAAAAAGAAGGTCAGGCAACATGGTCCCCCTAGATTGGATGATTACCAACAGCAGCAGCAGCTAGCAGCAATAGCACCTGGTAATTTCAAGGGTGCCGCAACTAACACAGCTCAATGGTAATTACTGAGTCGAGCTGCCACGGCATGACCTCATAGCGCCTGGACTAGCAGCGCATCAAGCCTTCGACGACGGCCACAGCAGAGGCTAGGCGATCCTGCCCAGATTCCCTCCATTCTGCTACACCATTTGGAGCTGGGCGTTGCCGCACGCGTTGTTGCTGGCAAGCGTTGACGGTGCGTCCCCCGCGATCCGAGCACAATTTGTGATTTTTGGGGGGAGACGGGGTGGAGGGGCTCCCAGAAAGTGTTTGCAGCATCAGTCTAAAACGGGCAACGTGCTGTCGATTGCGCCTGACAATGGACACATGGGGGACCATCACGCACACTACACACAAACCTCACACCACGTGGCTCCAACTCGGGACACCGTCTTTTCCATTGCGTTGCGCTCTCTTGCGCTTCTCCAGCTTCTGCTGCGCATCATCAGTTCATACTGGCATGGTAGCGCCATCCGGTGCTGCATGGACTCGTCGGGGCTGCATCTGCGCCAACCTATAGCGGGGAGGATGCTAAGTTTCCGAGGACAACTCACCAATCTATGTATCTCCGGGCCATATTACCAGGTAGATAATGTCGGGTGTGTGGTGGCATCGTCCCGGATCCATCCTGGCACTGCAATACGAAAACGACAGCCAACAGACAGGTGGGTAAGCAAAATCGCCAGACTGACAAGCATTCCAACCACACGCGATAAATTAAACAATTTTCAATGATTCAGTACCTGTCCTAGGAGTCGCCAGCTAAGATGCCAGATATATAACTAACTAATGAGGGATGGGCACGGCACATTCCCTTCTGGCCAGTCTCAGTTGTCCTTGGGATTTGCAACTAGGTACCCAATCGAGGTCGCATTAGTATTACCAACTACACTGACCGATCAGGATGGGGGACTCGGGTCCTCTTGTTATTGGTGGTCTCAACAGGGAACCGGAGAGAAGGGAATGGAACAAGAACCTGCAAATTGCATACCATTACTGCTACCTCAATGCACACCTCAGGCATTACGTGCGTGCACTCATTCACGTCCGGTCCTTTCATCTTCCTTCTTCTTGCGGCCAAGCGACAATACAGGTAGATAGAAGCGACAATACGGGTAGATAGGGCGAGTCACTTTGTCTCTAGGCACACAATAGGCATTCCCCCACTCGAGAATTCATTGACACATCTGCCTTTTTTATTGTTCTGTGGCTGGTCGATTGTCTGCAGCTGTCAGGCAGCCACTCCACCAGGAGGGGCCATATTAGGTAAGTCATCATCGTGAGAAAGGTACCAGCCTTAGTAAGTTCACGCAATGGAGGTACCAATCAGCAGTGCTACTGTCACGCACAGCCACAGGTCTCCTCCATGCTCCCAGGTTAACTCGGCTCTAGCCGCCCGACCCATTCAATTTGCTTTCAATGAGGCCTGTTCCGCGAACTCACATGCGACTCGGAGATGTTATTATGCTAAAGGCACTTCGATGTCGAGCCAACTTTAATCGATCTAGTGCGCTTATTTGAAAATCGCCCTGGTGTTTGTGGCTGTTTCGAAGAAGCGAAAAGACTAGTGCCTGGATACTAAAAAGCACCGTTAATACTTAAGTGCCCGTGCAACTTCACATAATAAAGCCAGAGTCGGTGCGGGCGCACAAGCCTTCCCAGGGGGGCAAAGCAAAAGCCGTCTTTGATCAGATATCATATTAGTACGTGGCCATGGCTCATGCCGCTGCTGGTAATAGATTAACTTTTCACTGTGCGGTGGACAAGGAAATAGAATTAAAAGTGCTGATGTGAAAGGTACCCAGTGCGGAGTTGCGTGTTCTAATATTAGCATTCAGGTCCTTTCGCGCCTGGCCAGATTCACAGCTTGAGTTCGGGAAGGAACAGGCTTTCTTCTAGGCAGCATTGACTGTGGCTTGTTTTCAGGTACTTTACTCACGCCGTCGCTTCCCAAAAGGCTCGAACTCCCACCTCATAAGGTACCTACTTAAGACGCTGACACAACCTTCTGTTTTCTTCTCCTCCTCCATACTCTTCATTATTTCGAATCCATCTCTGACACAGTCTATTGTCATCATTCATCTGCCACCTCGCCCACGCGAACAATACAATCTCCATTGTGCGTGTCTGCCTGCCTCACCAGCCGGAATATTACTCACTGCGAAGTACGTCCCCACTCTCTGCCTTGCCGCAACCAACCATTTGGGCATAGCCCGCATCACTCCCCTCATCCCCGCTGTTCTTACCTAGCACTTCGTTCACCAACGCCGAGCAAAGATCTTTCTTCTGCTGACAACTAAGCTAACCGACCGCTCTTCCGTTTCATAGAAACCATCCCGCAATCAACTCCAATCACCGAAATCACACAAAATGGCCGAGTCTAAGCCCGCCCAAAAGATTTGGATCCGTTCCAATGACGACAAGACGTTTGAGATCGGTAAGTCCCAGCCCACTTATGACTACACGAAGCAGTAGTCACGTCAGCCTTTCCCGACTAACCACAAGACCTACAGACCGCGATGTCGGCGAACGATCTGTTCTCATCAAGAACCTGCTCGAGGATGTTGGTGATAGCGATCTGTCCGAGGAGAATGCTATTCCTATCCAGAATGTAAGTTTGAGCAGCAATCGCCCCGCCTGATCAAACCAACTTGGATGCGAACCTTTTGCTAACGCCCGATGCCATCCAGGTGAACGAGACAGTCCTTCGCAAGGTCATCGAGTGGTGCGAGCACCACCGCAACGACCCCCCTGCCTCCCAGGACGAGGAGTCCGATGCCCGCAAGAAGACTACCGAGATCGAGGAGTGGGACCAGAAGTTCATGCAGGTTGACCAAGAGATGTTGTTCGAGATTATTTTGGTACGCCCTCTCCTTCACTGTCTGTTTTATTCCGACTCTCTGACTAACAAGTATCATAGGCTGCAAACTACCTCGACATCAAGGCTCTGCTCGATGTTGGCTGCAAGACCGTCGCTAACATGATCAAGGGCAAGTCTCCCGAGGAGATCCGCAAGACTTTCAACATCACCAATGATTTCTCGCCCGAGGAGGAGGAGCAGATCCGTCGGGAGAACGAGTGGGCTGAGGACCGGTAAATGGCCCTCCCCGCTTAGTATTTTGCAGCCATTATCAGGTATGCCGCCTCGAAGATTTACCTTTTTTTGCCCATCCATGGCGTTTTAAATGTTTTCCTATTACTCTATCCTCTATTATTGCTCCCTATCGGATCGAGGGTGGAGATAGTTTCCCTTTCTTTGTCGCTCCAGGATTCCAAATGGTATGTTTCCCAGCAGAGTTCACCCCTAGGGCCTAAAAAATCTTGGAGTATGACACAGCGTCAACTGTCGTCGGACTTGATAGAGGGAATCAGTGGCGAATGATAATGAAGTTTGTTTACGACATGTGTGTGATTTACAATTTGGGAAACCATTAATCTGTGATCGTAGCATAATGTGAGTATTTACATTGGAACGCCAGGTGATGAAGCAGGAACCCCAGTCTCATTACCACTACAGGTCAAACACCGAACCAGCTTCAGAGGATGCAGTTCTCAAAATCAGTAGTCGGAAACCGCTTCATCGAAAACAGCTGATCTCTCTCTCACCACACCAGTACGAGGTTTAGTACATGACGAGAAAACCTATCAGCGATGTTGTTAATGGCTACTTCAAGTGAGTACATGCACGGGGACGTATGACATTGCAGGTAGTAGATGACTTCAAAAGTGACGCATTTTATTTCCCTAGAACCTTGACCATGACATGCAGAAATCGAGAAACCGGGCAGCCTGCCTATTCCATTCACCCTCAACTTCGACGCCTTGACTAAACCCCAAGGCCCAAATATCCATCAGTGCATCGGCAGAAACATCTAAACACTAGAAAGAAAGAAAAAAGCCCATCCCCCCTCAGAGTAGTTGAACGGAGATCAGAGAGTATGTCATGCCGGGAAAGGGGGAGGAAAGTAGTCGTGATGCTGTCGATGCAGGAACGAGGTGCGTGAGGATTGGTGTTGGGCCGTTTTTCCACTGCTTTCCGGAGTGAAATTGCAAAACACAGGTGAGGCGGTTTAGATACCCAGGCGGGTCTTGCGCCAGTGTCTGCGCTTGGCGTTGTAGCTGTGAAGCCGACAATTGTTAGCCATGGGAACGTAAGACTCTCTTGTGTAAAAAATCTCTCTCGTGGTTTGCGTGGGCCGCCCCGAGGATTCTCTGTGAGGTCGAGCGGGGGAGGCGAAACGAGTATTCGGTTTACGTGAGGATCAAGGGGACAAAAAACTCACCGGATGGTGTTGTCCGTTCGGAGTCTAATCCATTGGGGCACAGGGCGGTTCTGCTTCTGCGCCTTGGCAAGCTTCTGCTTGGTGCGGAAAGACTTGTGGCTCTGGATACAAGGAAAAGAAAGAGTCAGCCCATTGAGATCATTTCTAAAGTGTGTGCCGCCCGCGGTGCGGTTCTCATGGCTCGTCGAGCATCGTTCTCTCGATGGCGAGAGAGTGCAACAGGCTCGCCATTGCGTGCGCTTGGGGGTCAAGGTAGGGTCATACCGGCATCTTGATTGTGTGGATGGTCGAGTCTGAATCGGATGGTGATGATGGGTTTCGTGGAGTTGAAATCGAATCCGAGAATTTTAGCCCTTGCTGAGAATCCTGTGGGCGGAAAAGCCCTACTAGTCCAGAGGGGGTTGTGGCTTGAGCGTGGGTTCGACTACAGTGAGTGCCTGAGGCCGCAACAAATTTTCAAATCTTAGTGGCTGTGCTAGGTATGACAGAATGCTGGAGGCATCTGCCTGATCTCCATCATTACTAAGGAAGGTAGCTGCACTAAGAAAGAGCTGCTTGCTCTCATGCTGTGAACACGTTACAAGACACTATCATCGCTTTTGGTAGCGATTGTTTGGGATGAATGGGAATCCCGGAAAATGAGCCTCCATCGCAGTTAGAAACATCCAAATCTCCTAATACACAATATCTCAACAGGAAGACAAGGTGTCTTTTTCCATCGTCTTATGCTTTAGCCAACCACAGTTAAGCTCCAGCGGTAGAAAAGAGGGACGTAACTGTAAATGCGCCTTCAGACGTAAGATCCAGAATAGGAGGCTTGAATTAATAATTAGCAGCTCCGACTGAACAAAGCTGTTTCCCCTCCACATCGACTCAATCTTTCGCCTATCGCAACATCCACGCCCACAATTAGAAAGTGCCTGCTATTATACCCCTTCCTTAAGGCAGTGCTAGCGAAGCAGGGCTTGTCACCCCCTACTTCCGCCGCTCCCCTGCTGGTCTGTCTTCCGCGCGACAAAACCACTTAGTCCCCGTGACTGAAACCCCGAAGCGTTTCGCGATAAGGAACGTCATCAACACCGACTTTTAGACGAACAACTTACTTCACTTAATCTCTTCTCCTCCGCCTGCGAATACACCGGGATCTAGACCCTCCCCCGACGATAATCTACCAGACGACACATCTCTTTAACGACCGTACCGGAACAAGCGCAGGCGTTTGATCGAGACCTCTCCTTCGCATCCTTACTTTTCTTCTAGTTTGCACAACTAGGATTGTTCAAGATGGGTCAATCCATGTCATGGGTGTCCAGCCTGCTGTGGGCAAAGAAGGAGATCAGAATCCTGATCCTCGGTCTTGTACGCTCGACCCCTCTGCGCGCATGCCAGCGCCGCCCATCTAGATGACGACCGGACGACGATCTGACTTGCGCAAATGCTTAGGATAACGCTGGAAAGACCACTCTGCTATACCGCTTGAAGGTAGGCATGCCCGACACCCGCAGATTGTCATGGGACGAACCATCACTAACGAATACTTCAGATTGGCGAAGTTGTCACAACGATACCTACCATCGGTTTCAACGTCGAATCCGTAACTTATAAGAACTTAAATTTCAATGTCTGGGTATGAGATAAACGTCCAGCCCAATTTCTACCAAACCTACCAGGAGATGCTAACACATGCCGCAGGATCTGGGTGGCCAGACCAGCATCCGCCCCTACTGGCGGTGCTACTACGCCAACACAGCCGCCGTCATCTTCGTCGTCGACTCGACCGACATCGAGCGCCTGCAGACCGCCGCCGACGAGCTGTCCGCCATGCTGAACGAGGAGGAGCTCAAGGACGCCGCCCTGCTGGTCTTCGCCAACAAGCAGGACCAGCCGGGCGCCAAGGGCGCCGGCGAGATCTCCGAGGCCCTCCGCCTCGGCGAGCTGCGGGACCGCAACTGGAGCATCATGGCGTGCTCTGCCGTCGACGGCAGCGGTGTGAATGAGGGCATGGACTGGCTTGTGGTATGGACTTGAAAATCCCCCCCCCCCCCCTCCTTTTGTTCGATCCTCCGTGATCAGAATACCACAGTACCTGGAGTCAAGGGGCTCACTAACATTCTTTCCAGACGACGGTCAACCAGGAGTAAACCGGCCACCGAGCTTCATCACACACACACGCTACCGTACCTACCCCATCCATCCCTCCGCAGCAAATTTATATTGTAACAACATCTGAGAACACGAAATCACGATAGCACGAAAACCCCCCTACCACACACCGTACTGGTTCCGTTTCATCTAGGTAGAAATCGCATATGGAGAGGCACTTAGCGTTTTTTGGCGTCCTTGGGGGGAAGCGGAGAGAGAGGCATCCCGGGGAGCCCCGGGTCGCCGTGCCTGGTTTGGGGCAGCACGTTCTCTCCCGTGTTCACGAGTGAAATTATCGATTGGTGTTTAATAAACGTGTCAACAATATTCACGATAAGACTAGTTTTTTTAATAATTATAGACCCAGGGTTCTCGCCCCTGGCGTTTTCCTTCTCCAACGCTCATCCAGCTCCTGATTAGATTCTTCCTCTTCTCAGTTTTGAGGTCGAAAATTCGCAAAAACAGGGGTGGATAAACTGAAAAGGGGCACCTGAATAATAGGGGTAGATGGATTTAGAGCTTGCTGTCCTATTGTAGTAGATCACTCGCTACAACACGTCACATTTCACGCGATCCAAAATGAGAAGGATTTTGGAACAGTTTTGTTCAATTAACTAGTACTGCAACGACAAGACATCAGGAGCAGGGACACTTCCTTAGCATTGGGCTTGTCCTTGTGCCATAGCTGCCAGCCACCGGGGCGACACACTATGCACACCATATATATCCAGCACCTCAGGTGCGCGTAGGAACGCTTTCTAAGCAACCAGGGGCGAGACCAAGACTGCGCTGCAGCCGGCTCTCGCCCTCCTACGGCAGCCACCTCCATCACTGCCTAAGCTATCAACGAGTTCAACTGTTGACAGCCAGTCAGGACGTGAGGTGGTTCTGTAGAGAGATGTACTACAGAGATACCTTAGACTCATCGCCGATGTTGGACTCCCATCTCGTTCCGAAGCGAGGAACGGCTTCAACTAGCCGGGCGGCGTACTCCAGCTGATGGCGGACCCGTCTCGCAGGTAAAACCAAACAGTCTGGCGCATCACTCTAGCCTCGACTAGTAAAGCAGTCTCACTTGGCACGAGATGTGGAGTTTGCCGCTTTAGAGAGCAGCAGAAGTTGATATCGGTGGGATGAGTCTGTGCAAGGTAAGACGATAAGGCAAAACTTCATCTCTCTCCTGCACGGCAGAGAGAAAGATATAGCCAGCTCGTTGTATGTGAACTATCACAAGTCATCTCCAACTTTCTCGTTGGATACGATGGTTTTAGCACTGCTCCCAACGGCACAATGGAATGCGCCAGGTGGAAAGGAAGTATGCCAGATACTTCCTATGTGCAACACAATGATGCAACGACAGGCCACCCGGGACAAACGTCAGAAAGAATCCAGTTCAGTGAGAGCGGTCCCGGGGAAGTCGGATCGAATAAATCTGGTTGTGTGTGAATGGATACTGCGAAGATGTGGTTCCGACATCAAGCCGGATGCTCATGTTCTTCTCATCAAGTCATGTGTAAACCAGAGTCAAAAGTCGCTTTATTCGTTCGTGAAATCATCAATGTTGTCGTCATTATCTCGTTTCGTAGAAAGGGTAGCAAGTGCCGAAAGAAGGAGTGACTGTTGGTATAGCTGGCCGCCGTCGAAAAGTGGGCGGCAGCGGGGTGTGAAGTTCTCGAGAAGCTTTGTCTCATCGGATTAGAAAAAAAAAGGGGAGAGAACCGTGTTGTTTCTGTCTCGGGCCAGGCCGAGCTGTGCGCATCGCTGCATGATTCTTATCTTTGACCCATGATAAAGGAAAACCAAATGAAAAATTGAAGATGCGAAAGCCGAATGCTCTGAAGCGAATGTGTGGTAAGCCGCCAGGTTGTGCCGAAGTGCCTGTCCAGGTGAAAGATGCACGCCGAGGCGCTGCCCCTGTACTCCAGCCATGATGGTCATGGTGGCAGTGCAATAGGAAAACATGAAATTCCAAGGCCGATCTAGCGGCGTGTATTGCGACAGGTAAAGATGTTTCCCGGAGAAGGATCAAGATCAAAACTTCGTGCGTAAAATCAAGCGCTCAATGTAGTTGTAGCCTTTCAACAAAGAAGAAAAACCAGAAAAGGAAATAAGGAAAATAGTAGAACGATTAGTGATGTTCGTTGTGAATATAAGTGGTGGATATCAGTCGAATCGATTCGAAACTCCGGTGCCGATGCAAATGGAAGCCAAAAACGCCAATAATAAATGCCCGATGATGATGCTGGTTCTATGCCGCTGCGAACTCAAAGCCCAAGACTTTTTTTTCTCACTCCGGGAAACAAGGGGGAGGTGCTGCTTTGCAGTACTAGATGGACGAAGTCGGTGTTGCCGCTAAGAGGCCATTCCCAATATTATGTTACAGGGTTTCACATAATGGTCGCATACTCCTGGTACCTATCCCAGCCAAAGCCGCCCATACCGATGCCGACACCGCATTGCATTGGTGCCAACATGCTAGGGAGCATGGTAGGGATAGGGGCGGTAACCTCGGGGGAACTGAAAAAAAAACCCGCCGTGGTGTGGGGAGGAGTGTAGGAGGGCGTGGGAGATGGCATCTGGACTTCGCCCAGTCCCATGTTGGTCCAGAGAGGAGTTGTGGACTCGACAGAGGTAACGCTGGGGCTGGATGGGAGGATTCGCCAAGGGTCGACAGCAGCCATGGTGACCACAGGTGGCCCTTGAGACCACATGTTGTGGGCAGGCGTGCTGGGGAGGAGGGTGGGCTGGCGGATAACCTCGACAACACGAGGAGGAGGGGGCACGAGAGGCTTCATCAAGGCAAGGAGGTTGTTCTTGACCTCCTGGCTCTTGTTGTTGAGCAGCTCGCCGAAACCTTCCTCCTCGAGACCTTCCAGAGCGGAGACGTGTGTGCGGAAGACAAACTTGTTGACGGCCTGGATAAAGTCCTCGTGGAGCTTCTTGCACTGCTGCTCCTTCTCAGACCAGTCGTGGGTGTTGGCCTTGGCATCCGCACAGTGGATCTTCTCGTGGTACTGAACCAGGGTATCAATGGTGTCGGTGTTCAGCTTGTATGCGACCTCGTTGCGCAGGACCATGTCAACGTGTACGACGTAAGCCTCAATGTGAACCATCTGGAAGTGGTTGCTCATAAGCTGGCTGGGATCCGAGGGCATCTCGGCCTCGGGCATTGTGGGGAGCATGATGGAGGCGAGGTTCCAGATGGCGTTTGGCGATGAGAGGATCTCGGTCAGGCAGCGCTGGTGCTGGGGCACGCTGTTCAGAGGTCGCTTCACCCGATTGACACGCTTGAGTGTCTGTGTTAACCAAGGCTCAACCTTGGATCCAAGAACGACATTGACGGATGAAGCCCTGGGGGCGAAAGCAGCGGCCGAGGCCGGGAGAAGTTGTACGGGCATGGCTGCGGGCTGAAGAGGACTGGATTGAACGGGCGACGCAGAGATATCGGGTTTCGATCGGCGTTGGGTGAGGGTGGGGGGCCGGAGTTGGTGTGAATTGGCGGGTTCGAATGATTAGACTGAATAAGAAAACGAGATGGCGGAGCTAGAGCAGGGAGGAGAGATAATATTGGCTTGGTGGGATTCGCCTGCTTTAACTGCCGCAACCCGTGGAATATAGAAGAGAACGACGGACGAGGGACTCGTGAAGAAGAAGAAGAAGAGGAAGGAGGGGGCGAGAAGATGGAGGGTGGGAGGCGAGGGTATTATAGATGGCAGCGATCGGGGGACAGTGGTCTGTGGTAGTGGTGGTCTTGTCCTGCTGTGGGAGGTGCGGTGCTGTGTGGGCCAAAAACCCTCCCTGGCAGCTAGCAAGGGCTACTTATTAGTACTGATGGGACCTGGCTGTAGGTGCCTCTCAGAGTGCATGAATCCAGCGTTACCCACCCATGATGCACTGCACAGCGAGTTTACGTAGCCGGCTCGGAGTGCCCTGGCCTGCATAGGTGTCCATTCCCAGATGCCCGAGGCAGTGCAGCGGTCTCTTGCATGGCACTTGCATGCAGGCAGATTCGGGGGGAGGGGAGGGGTGCGGCCTGCCCAGCTGAAAAGCTGCAGATACAGCGCCACACTGGCGGGGAGCTGTCCATAGCTGCTGCTGTAGTACCACTACCAGCAGCCTGTCCCTACGTTACCCTTCTGCTCCACTCGCTAGCCGCCGAAGGTAGAGACAGACGCCTCGTACCGGTACTTGTCCGCCTGCCGTGCCATTGATTTGGTCTCAAGTCCTACCACGAGCAAAACGGGGATGTCACTGCTTGGTGAGAGAGACACACACCACCACACACACACACACAGGCCGACACACTTTCGCGATTGCGTCGTCCAAGCCAGAACAACAAGGGAGCATTTTCACGCATCAGTCTATCATATCTCACATGCAGAGTGCTATTATGTGCACCACAAAGGAATGGGCCCCTCCTGTGCTTGTTTTTTTCCCTCTCGCCTGCCACCTCCTCAGCTTCGTTCCCCACCACCACCACAACGTCTCAACCGAGACAACCCGCCTGCATTGCTGCGTCGTAACCTCACAGGCGCCTTGCTTTGTCGCAACCTGATTATGCCGGCAAAAGTGCGCCAGTGGCAGGCAGAAGTATAAAAAAGCAACTAAAAAGAATATGAATTATGACATGACGCCCTCGGAAGCTGATGCTCAAGTGAGCAGCCCACACCATCACCAAGGACACGAAACAGTTCACGGCATCCGCCGCCGCCAGTAACGCCGTCTGCGGCGGCTCGAGTCGCATGGCCGGTGGGCGCCGTAGATCAGATCACCATGGGAATGGGGGGATCCATGCAGCATCTCTCTTCGGCCACGGGCAACTCAACATCTGAGCTTCGCAACAACCTCTGATGCCGCCCATGATTTCTCAACCATCCACCCCAGAGAAACGAACACGGGCTTATGCAACTTCGCAGGATCAAGTGGCCTCCTGAGTTTTAGCCCAGTCCATCACTAGTATAGTCTTGAAATGCGGCCGCCAACATCGTAGTAGACCCCCTCCCTCCTTTTCTCCATTTCTCGTTGGGGAGGAGGGTGGCACTTGGTCCCCCCCCCCAATCCAAGTTAAATAGTGAGATTATTTATCATATTATAGATGGCCGCCTGCGCAGCGCAATTTGTGCGGTCCTCTTGTCATCCTTGCGGGGGGGTAAGTGCCCATCCCTCTTTTATTAGCTGAAACGACGGATATGGACATCATGTGCTTAATAGGAAGTCCAGCCAGCCCTCTTCCCCATGGTCTCTCCCCAAAACCGAGCATCACACCCCCCGTAGCTTCCGCGGCGTCCCTATTGACTCATGATGACCCGCATATATTGTACATATGCGTCGGCGCCAACATGAAACAGCAAGTATTGGGTGGAAGAAGGAAAATCTTCTGGGTTATATGCGCTTGCGCCAAAGTCATAACTGCCTGATACACGGGCGCGCAAAATGAAACGCCAGGCGGACGACGACGGCAGGCAGAAGCTGGGAAAAACCACCACGTCCTCCAACCTCACGCCTGGTTCAGGGCCAAAAGTCTCCCCATAAGGCAGAAGCCGTTAATCTTGCAAGTGCCAACAACGGGCGGGAGCGTGCCTCGACCCGCTAGAGAGGGCTTCGTAGATTTGGACCCAGCGTCCGGATCTGCTAGGGAAATGACCCTGAAAAAAGCGTGTGTAAGTCCGGGGACATGGTTGGACGGCTGGCAAGACGGAAAATGGTACTATCAAAAGAGAACCCAGGAGTGCGGGTTGAGTCCAACCCTTCCCACGTTCCCTAACTGGAAAGGAAAATTACTCAAGACGAGAACCGTGTGGGACACTCACTCACACACACACAAATAGACCATTACGATGTCTCCCTGACCTTGCCCAGGCCAGGAGTGGCGAGCACCCAGCACCAAAAGGGATGAGCCAGGCCAAAGGCTTCGAGCAACGAGAGCCTGTAGATGGCATTTGACAAGGACGGCATCCATGCTAGTGGCGGGTGGTGAGTTGAGGTCAAAGTGCCGTTCCGGGCCCTGATTGGACAGGGCCGAAATGTCTAGTGGTGGTCTGAAGTGGGGCCCGGCGGAGGTGTGGGGCCGAGTAGAGCCTGTGTCGCGATTGGCTGATTGTGTCCAAAATCAGCCCTTTTTGGCCAATCAGGGGGCCGATAAGTCGTCGCCTGATGGAGGCATGTTGCCAGAAGTAGAAGGCAAGCAAACAAGCACCAGGAGAGCGAGAATGCTACGAGAGAAGAGACAGGAGACAGGAGACAAGAATAGGCTGGGTGGAAGCTATATGCGAATGCACGCTGCGATAACGACCGGTAGGTGGAGTGGATGGGAAGGAGATGAACCGAATATGCGCAGGACAACTTGCACATGCCAAGTAGACAGGAGCACGCCCATCAGGTACCTACACCCAACTGTGTATGATGGACCAGCTAGCGGCATCTTGACATATGTCTAAAACCAATGGACCTTTTGTCAGTAGGTCTCTATCTGTCCTCTTTGGCTGATCAAACGAATCGTAAGATGAAGACCATGCCCTCTCCGTCTTGGCCGTGGCACGGTAATTACAATGGCCGTTATTGCGAAAATGATGGCAGAGGGGTGTGCCGCTTCGCGCCAGGGCCTGGGCATGATCATCAAGAAATTCCTCCGGTCTTCATTGGAAAGGACAAAGGGGGACCTAGCACCCTGCCATCTAGATCCGCGCCCCCTTCTGGGTCGGGTTTAATAAAGAATCATATCATACAAGCGTCTTACTCTGAAGGTCCCATCTCCAAACAAGACAAAGGGGATATTGGGCTTGGCGTAGCATGGCATCGTGAAGGGCTAGGTCGGGAGTAGCCATTGGCGCATGTCGTCTCAGACAATGGGTGGGTAGCAGGAGAATAGCACCGGCTGATGAGCCAGACCCTCGGCATCGGGCGCTACCGGCCTCTGCCTCCAGAGAGCGATGTCGCGATCATCATTGTCTTGTCGTCCTTCCATTGTCTGGGCACGCTTGGCTTTGTTTGAGCAAGGTCGGAAGCCACGGCTGACTCATCTACCGGAAGAAAGTCGAGGGTCGCGGCCTTCCAGCCACAAGACAAGTACCGGTACAAGCCCGGGGTCTGGTGGCCAGATACACGAATACGTCCAGAAGGAGTATAGGCGCTGGGAGAAGTCTATCCAGGATAGTCCACCCCGATCCACTGCGGCTTAGCAGCTTTCTGAGATGCAGCAGTAGCGCCATATGTTGGAAATCTCGTGGGTACCGGTGGTGAGGACCCCAGCGGCGGCCTGCCAACACCATCCCCAAGGGCAACCCTGCGACAGGATCAGCCATAGAACCCTGCGCATCACTTGACTAAATCAGGGTCTACTTTGTCACATGAGGACGAAGGCAATCCAGACCGAGCGACTGTGTGCATACCGCCATCGGATAGGATGACGTCGCAAAGGAGGAAGACGGACGAAACCAAACCGTCACGGGAACAGGGCGACAGTGACCGCAAAGGCAGAGCTGGGGGTCTAAGGCCCGACCAGAGAGAGATATGCCGAATGTCATCTCAGATGACTTTCCCGATGATCCTACCACATCGGCCTTCAGTACACCCATAGCATGGCATTGTAAGAGCAGGTAGTACCGCCCATTAGACAGGGGGCACGGGCACTGATTGTCGCGACTGACGCCGAGGGAAGGGCCGGCGCGGCCATATCGGCCTCCCGCCGCGTCATGGACCTCATGCTCTATATATCGTCCCCTATACTATCTTGCCTGTCTTTGGGCAAAGAGCAGCCAACTTCATGGTGAATCTAGGATGTTGGCGAAAACCCATGGGTTTCTGAGACATGAGATCGGGTGTCTACCCGCCTGCTGCAGGTTCAACCTGCCTGCATAGACAGGCTTACACTGGGTATGTAGCATCAGTTCCACAGCGGACAACCCGATGCGGCCTTGCATGCGCTCCTGCACCAAGGCAGCAAGCAAACAGTAATATCATGTTCGCAAAAAGCAATATGACCATTGTGCAAAGCAAGAGTTTTCCCGGGAGATTCATGCATTACCGTTTCATACAAACCTTGTCAGGTTACATGCATACGAGAATTGGCTGCCTAGGTCCTGAATCAGGGAATCGCCCATGCCATTTCGCCATCTCAGCCATGGGCGATTTCGCTCCCAGTTCCATAACACCGGTATTATCAAGCTACAGTGGCGCGCGCTTTGGGGAAGGAGGTTGAAGGGTGGGAGAGACCCCTGCCAACCCAGGTCAGGACAGCGCCAAGCCTGGACCTCTGGAGATCAGCCCTGTGTGGGAAACGGCCTAGTACTATTACGTAGCTCCAGCTGTTGGAGGTGGTATTTGCTGATAGCATTCGCGGTGTCCTTTTCATGGCAGCGAGATTACTATTGATGATTTGCATATGCAAAGTCTCTTTGTC